ATGGCTAGTCCACAAGATCAAGAAATTATTATTTAAGCTCCTCTATTTTCAAGATACAAAACCTTAATGATTCATTTGTGACCATAATAAGGTGATTGATAGTTAATACGGTTCACATATGTAATCAACTAAGCTACTTGGTCGACTTTATTTCTCTTATGTTAAACGAGTTTGGGGGATCCTTGTATTTTACATATGAACAGGTAGGCTAAAAGAAAAAACACATAAGAAAAATATACCAATTTCAACAAAAAAAAACTATTTCTTATCATTTATAATAGTAAAACATTATTTGGATATATAAGTAGATGCTAAGTAAAGATTTGAGTGCTTTAAAATTTGTCAATATTGCTTAACGAGGGATCACTTAGAGACTTTCTTATCTTCAATAATCATACCTCATTTTCTTCATTGATTATGAATCCCCCAACACCTACTTGATGTGTAGCATTAGTAGGAATCATACAAGGTCCTTTAGGAATCCGGTAAGTTGACATCACATATCCTAATTTTGCATGGTGGTTACTGGAAACCTTTATGTAAATCAATTTACTCACCCGCTTAAAATCTAGGTCTTGCGGAAAGATTGAGAGCTAACATTCTTCATCGTTTTCTTGAGTGTATGAAGTGTAGATGGTTAAAGCTAATGAAATACAACAATTTAACATGGTTAAGTTTTGAGCATAAAAAGAAGTCACCTTTACAACAACTGGAACAAGCACTCGATCATTCTAAGTGGCAACTTAAGCCAAATTCCCTTCTTTTCCTACGATCAATTTGTAACCAACATAGGATATCTAAGAGACAATTTAAGGCTCTATGTTTGACTAAAGCTTTGTAGTATTTTTTTTTAGCATCGGTAGAAAATTACCTTCATTTTAACCTTTAATAAGTAGATTTTAACATCAACTTTTACGGTGCGACTCACTTGCATAAATTCCTAAACCCCATAAAACAAATTCAATACCAAAAATGAAAATAATAATTACATTGAGAAATATTTGTTAAAGAGAGAAAAGGGTGATGTTACGAACTTGGATAACAATTCTCATGGGTCCCTTAACCTCGGCCTCTTATCCCCGGCACAACGAACCAAGTCGGTGCAAACTTTCTCGAGGTTTTTGACATTCTTAGAGGAAAAAGTGATCCCGATCTTGTGAATCTGCTATTGGGTCTCCTTTAAACTCGACTTTTGTGCCTTTATAGCTCCATAAACTAATGTTATTGCCATTTTCTCCTTATGTCGAGAGAATTAGAGAAACATGGATGGCTTTTTTCTTGGAGCGAGGGAGCATTAGATGAAAAAGAGTGGATCCGTTACTTGTCAAGACAAGGATTTAGATCTTAGAGAGGATGAATGAGAGGGATCTGCTACTTGCCGAGACAAGGATCCGGATTTTGAAGAAAGAACTTAGAAGTTGAGGAGAAGGGTGGGATAATGAAGGGGTTTTTTTTCTAAAAGAACTCAAAATAGAAAAAAAGAAAGAAAATGTAAGTTAGCTACTTGGACTTAAGAGGTGAGGGCGGCTTTATCAACCACCTCATATTTTTTGCTTGTAAACTATGTAAAATAAAAATTATTAAAGTTTGAGGCGGTTTTGTTAACCGCCCCAATATTTTGCCTCTATAATCCTTTTTTTTTTTTTTATAGTGTAATCTCATCACAATCCAATTCACCAAGAGTCGTTTTAGATTTTTTAGCAACAAAAAAAATTCATGAGTATAACTCGAATATTAACTCGATTATGACATTTAATTATAACTATAAATGACATCATAAAAATCTAGTTGAATCCAAAATCTAAACACAAAGAAAAAAAATCAAAATTCTAATAATCAAAAATAAAAAAAATCCATAGATTAACAATCACATAAATTATAAATCATCATAGATCAACTTACGATCCAGAGTAGTTTTACATTCCACAATAGTCGTGCAACTTGATCACTTTCTCCCATCTCCTATCTTCTTCAAAGGCTTGTACAATTGGCTATTGTGTTTGTCATACAAGAAGAGAGACACCGGGAATTCAAGGTTGCTTTTATTTGTGGAAAAAATTATAGTTTTCTAAAAAAATATTTTGGAAAATAAAATACTAAAAAAAAAAACATGTTTAATTATGATCATGCTAAAAAAAAGCACCTTATTATCTTAAGGGAAAATAGCTCAATCAATCCTCATATGACTTGTCAAATCTCTAATTTGTCTTTATATTTTTAATTGTGTTTATCATATCTTTGTATAATATTCAATTCTCCAATTTGTTATTATGTCGAGTTTTTATATCCAAATTGACATAATTATGTTTTACATTCTAAAACTATCATTTAGCTATACAAGAATATAATTTTGGTTTTTTTTAAAAAAAATTAACTAATTTGTTATTATGCCAAGTTTTTATATCCAAATTGACATAATTGTATTTTTCATTCTAAAACTATCCTTAGCTATATGAAAATATAATCTTGATATTTTGAAAAAATATATATCTATATTTTTAAAATTTTAATGGTTAAGTAATATTGAAACTATTTATTTCTTACAACATTTTGAACAATTTTGACAAAAAAAATATTATATTTTATATTCTTATACAAATCAAGGGCAATTGAAAAATATAATTTTATCAATTTGAGTGAAAAAATTGAATGAAAGATATATTAGAGAATTAAGGATATAATAGATACAATTAGAAATACATGGACATATTGAAAACTTGTTGAATTATATAATAATATATTAAACTATTTATCCTTTCGTAAAGAACAAAAATATACTAATTATTTTGTAAAAAATAAATTTAAAATGACAATGATTACTTCCTTTTGTTAATTAAAAATCAAATTGAAAAAAAAAACAAGAAAAAAAAAACATGTACCTTAAAATCTTAGGGTGTATTTGTTTGGATGAAAACAAGTTCCGTAAACTTGTTTTTCTCATTTTTCGAGTGTTTGTTTCACGTTTAGGAAAAAAGTCAGCGAAAAATGATTTTCGATCAATGAAAAATGATAGAGTATTTTTGAAATTTTTTTTTCTCGGTTTGAAAAAAGGAAAATATTTTCCTTCTCACGAGTTGTCTCGCTCTTGTGTTACTTACTTCTCTCTTGATATATTTTAACAATGTTTTCTCTAATTTTTTTTAAAAATATATCAAACTAATTTTTATTTTTTCCTTATCAATTATTATTTATTATTTAATTATTTTTTCTCTATTTCTACTAATATTTGATTTTTTATTTATTTATAGATATATTAAATATTCTTAAAAACCATTTTTACATCTTAAAATTATTTTTATAATAAATATTTTAATAATTTACCTTTATTTTTTTAGTATTATCTCAAACATCACTTATATTATACTTAAATGATTGAAAACGATTATTACAAGACTATAATTTTTTGTAAAAAAAATTTAAAATTAATTAATTCATTATTTTTTCAACACTATTCATTTGCAACTAAATCAATAATTTTTAATTTTAATCAGTTGTGAAATTTTATTGGTAATTATAGTGAATAATTAGTTACAAATTATTCCAACATTAATCTTTTGAAACCAAATGAATAATTATCTACAAATGATAACTAATAATTTATAAAATTATTTTTTAAATTAAATTATCAGTTCAATTGTTTTTTTTAAAAAAAGAATTCTTAATTGAGTTACCAAAATAACAATGCTAGGATTATTTAGAATTTTTTTTTTACTAAATCTAAATATTGATTTGATTTTGTCCCAAGTAATTTTGATGAATTGGTTTAATGGTTAAAATAGTATATTTTATTTTTTTGAAATAAAATTTTATAGTTAATATTTATGAAAATTTATTAATTTTTTTTAAATATATCTTATATTATGAAATTATGAATATGCTTTTTTAAAGTTTTTACAAAACTTATTGATGTAAAAATCATGTATTGTTTTTGTATTTTAATTTTTTGTATCAAACAAACGTTGGAATATAGTTTCAAGTAATTTTTTTATGTAATTGTCAAATGACAGAAAATATTTTTTTAAAAAATAATTTTTAGAAAAATAGCATTATTAGGAATTGATTTTCTTATAGAAGTTGTTTTACCTCAAACAAACAAAGTATTAGCTACACACGTTCGAAGGCAAATTTTCAGTTAGTTAGGCCCACAATTCTAAGTTTGTTGGCTTATGATCACAATCGTCAACTCGCTTCAATCCAACGACTACTTTCAGAAACTTACAAATTTCACGGGGTATATACTATACAGATTGGTTCTTCCTTTAAAACATTATAATTACAGTGTTTTTAATTTTTTTTTAAATTATAAGATAGTATTCTATATGTAATAAATAAAATATATATTAGTTTTTAATTACTCATAAATGGTTTTTTTACCATGTAAATAGTAATTTTTTTCTTCTCTAGGATAATAAGATTTTTTTAATTGAAATTGTATTTAATTATTTGTAATTATTATAATTAAAGAGTAATTAGTTAAATTACAAAAAAAATATTGTTTTAGAATTCATTTAGTAAATTTATTTAACAATTCATAATTATTTATCCGTTACGAAATAAATAATATTTATTTGTAAAATAAACAATATATCTTTTAAATTAAAATTATATAATAATATTAGTCAGCAGTGTAATTACGAGATGATTAATTAAATAATTAATGATAAGATGAATTAGTATAATATAGTAAATAAAAATATTTAATAGTTTATAAGTTAAACACAATATAATTATAATACCTTAAAATAACTATAGCAAATCCTATCCATACATACGATTTAAAATATTTTGATGCCAAACCGTAACAGCAACCTCCCTTCCTTCCTTCCTTGGCGAGAGGGAAAAAACAAAACACTAATTCCATACCATGACAACACTCCTTCCTTTTCCTTCTCCAATCAGATCTGCTTATCCTTTCCAAACTCTATCTATCCAATTAATAAATGATTTCTAACCCTCAATTACTCTGCTAATAATAATTACTATCTCTCTCCCTCATCCTCATGGATACCGAGCTCAAATCCATGAACCAGGACCCACCCAAACCCGAACAGATTGACCCGTCTTCCCGAGACGATGGGTCCAACTCGAAAGACGACCGTCCGCTACTCAAGTCGGACTCAAACAGAGTCGACTCAACGACAACCGAGAACATCGAGGAGCTGGAGAAAAAATTCGCTGCCTTCGTCCGCAATGACGTGTACGGCCCGATGGGACGAGGGGAATTACCATTGTCCGAGAAAGTTCTGTTAGGAATCGCGGTGGTTACGCTGGTGCCGATACGATTTGTGTTCGCATTGGTTATATTGGTGGTGTATTATATAATTTGTAGGGTTTGTACGTTGTTCTCGGCGCCGAATCGGGATGAGGAGGAGGAGCAGGAGGATTTTGCGCATTTGGGAGGGTGGAGAAGGGCGGTTATTGTTTGGTGTGGGAGGTTTTTGTCTAGACTGCTGCTTTTCGTGTTAGGGTTTTATTGGATTAGTGAAAGCTATAGAGATATTGAACTGCCTAATCAAAATAAATCTTCTACCCAGGTATATTATTATTACAGCTGCTTTTCGTAAAATCTTATTCTTTTTTCTGTGTTTTTTTTTTTTGGTTTTTTGTTTTTGGAACTATTGTAATTAATGATATGATAATCATTGCAGTAGTGACCTTCTTTATGCTTGGATGTTGATGCTTTTACTTTGTTTGCATTCTGTTTCTATTAGATTTCATATTTAAAATTAACGCCAGAGATTACTAAAGTTAAAAACGATATGATTATGATGGTTTTTCTCCTTTAAATTACGTTTAAGTTCTGCTCCAAGTGAACTCACTCTTGTTTTCTTTTCCTCTCCATTATTTAATTTTTTGGGCAGAATGAGAGAAAAGATCAATCTAAAGATCCGGAAAGGACAGGGGCAATAATATCCAACCATGTTTCGTATTTAGATATCTTGTACCACATGTCTGCTTCTTTTCCAAGCTTTGTTGCCAAGGTTTGTTCATGCTCTGTTTCTTGTCTACTGTTTAATATCTTAGATTTTACTTGTGCTGGAATCTGGAGTTAATCGGTGACTGTATTTAATGCGGTGTTATTTACACAATTCTGTTTTAATTGTGATGATTTTGATCCTGGATTTTATCTCTGAAGAGATCAGTGGCTAAACTTCCTTTAGTTGGTCTTATCAGGTTAGTTCGCTACATTTGAACTATGTTTATCAGGAAATTTATTTTTATTATTGAGGGTTTCCTTTGCTATTGTTGAATGACATGATAAATGTCTCTTCGTATATTATATCATATGGTTTGAATGAAGGGGAACTTCTGATGTTTATTGGTTGTTTTTGACAGCAAGTGCCTTGGTTGTGTATATGTTCAGCGGGAGTCGAAGTCATCTGACTTTAAGGGTGTTTCAGGTACAGAGATTGTTAATGTCTATATGCTGTTCACTAATATTTGATGCATGATGAAAATTGATTGGTTAGCTACTCTCTTAGTATATATCTTTTTGGTTTACTAGCGATTCACTTTAACTGTTGCACTATTTTCGAAGCTTGATTAGTGCATGCCATAGATTTCATATTCATAGGTTTCTGTAATTTTCAAGCCGAGAGGCATATTTATCAGCCACTGCTCTGACCTCACTTAAGTATTGGATGGTTGCAATAGAGAACTTAAGGTCACCCCTAGAAAAAGAAAGCTCATGGAAAAGGAAAGCTCATGGGTGTTTTGACTAGAGAATCTCCTCCTTACTGGATCTGGGTTAGGGAAAAAGAGCCCCAATTCTGGTTTTCTATATTACATACTATGGAATATTTCTTTTTACCTGAAAAGTGAATTGGATTGACTCATGTAGTTCAGAATGATACTGGTTTCTATATTGCATAATATGGAATATGGGCATGCTAAAACTACTGTTTCTTTTTGCTGAGTAATAATGCTGTTGTTGTGAATTTCAATGCCCTCCACTCCTTGCAGGTGTTGTGACTGAAAGAGTTAAAGAAGCTCATGAAAATAGCTCTGCTCCGAGGATGATGCTTTTTCCTGGTTAGTATTTGTGGATCTGTTAAGTTCATCATTTTCTTGTAGTTCCCCCATTGTATAATTCATAAATTGCTTGATGTGTTTATAATTTTATTTTACTAGAAAATGGATTGAGTTATTATTATTATTATTATTTAATTTCCTGTTCTCCAAATTGGTAAGAGATTGGGCTGTTTGTATATATGAGTTGCATTCAATTATGAGGAACAAGTATGATCAGTATTGAAGTAATGGTTAAAGAATAGAACTACACGTGGTACTGTGTGTTTGTATCCCTGCATGGGTGACCACAACACGATATGCCTCCCCAGTGTGGTGATATAGCCTGCCTATGATTTGCACAGCTTACTAAAAGGTAATGAATAATCTTTTATCATACTACAGAAGGCACAACAACAAATGGAGACTTCCTTCTACCTTTTAAGACAGGTGCATTCTTAGCAACAGCTCCTGTGCGTCCAGTGATTCTGAGGTATCCGTACCAGCGATTCAGTCTTGCCTGGGATTCAATATCTGGGGTGAGTTTTTCTTATGCAATTTTGATGAGAACTTTTTGTTTGGTGGTTTAATTCTGGAGTTTATGTAGAAGTCGCTTCTGTGCCTGGCCAACCATTAAAGAAGAGGAGCAATGAATAATTTGTGAAAATGGACTTGATTAGGATCAGGGACCTGAAAGTAGTGCCAGTGACAAATGCGTCAGCTTGAGAAGTGATATAAGCGCTTAAATATGTTCATTTAAGCTGAGGGAAGCTTAAATATTTAGTTCAAGATCTAAACAATAACATGAAAAATAAAATCTGCTTGTTTGGAGAGAAATGTTAGTAAATGCAAGGGTCGAGGTTTAGTATCAGGTGGAACAGATCTTGGTCTAGCCAGTTATTCATGTCATTCGTGATAAATCACATATACAGAAAAGAATCTAGACAGCCAGGTTTCTAGCCACAATGGTGTCATGTATCAAAAGCATGTGGAGTTTGATTTGAAGTTCCATGGGAATCTTTCTGCTGTTTTCTTTTTTCTATGTTTTGATTGTGTTGGTACAGATGCTGCTAGAAAAATCAGATTTATTAATCTGCATTTAAGTTCTTCATTCTACTTCAGCTTCATTATATATTTCCTTCTGCAGGCGCTCCATGTGTTTTATCTTTTCTGTCAATTCATAAATCATATGGAAGCAATATGGCTTCCTGTTTACTACCCATCACAGGAAGAGAAGGACGACCCAAAGCTATATGCTAGCAATGTCCGACAGTTAATGGCTCGTGAGGTATGCATCTCCCTTGATGTTGGACATGGAACAGTTTGAGACAATTTAATAAACTTGTGGTGCCCACTCTTCCATTTCTAATGTCATAACTCATAAGTGCTACCTTGACTTAAAATTATGCAATCAGAAGTCATGACTACAGTTTCATTTGAATTTTTAGCATTCTATCCCAAATTGCCAGATATATATCAGCATTTGTTTATTTCTGCGTATGTTTTGGCTGCAGGGTAATTTAAAAATGTCAGATATTGGACTTGCTGAGAAGCGAATATATCATGCGGCTCTGAATGGTAATAATAGCCTGCCTACTGTTTTGCATCAGAAAGACGATTGATAATTTCATGGCCTCGCTTCCAATTGATAATCTTTTCTGAGTCGAGCCTTTTACTTTATGTTGGGTGTTTGCTCATAAATAACAGTCAAACACAGGGTGGCAGTACTCCACCTTTTGTTATAAGAAAAAGATGCTGGTACTGACTTGTAAATTCTTGCTATTGGAAATGTGGCCATTGAACACAATTTTAAATGTGTTGTTGGATATTTGTCAAAGAATCTAGTTTAAGAACTTTCTGGGATTCTGTAACATGTGTTAGGCATTTCTCATTGAGATTACTGAATGCCCTTAAACCTTTAGATAGAACGTTGCATTTGTTAATCTGAATCATCTGTTTCCTGTTCCTGCAGGTTTGTTTTGACAATGCTAATTCGGATTCGCCATCTGTATATTTTACTGTATGATTCTAAGATTAACAGAAAAAATTAAAATTATACAGGAATCATGAGCAGAATAGGATCCCTGTTGTCTTCAATTGGAGATGTACTCACCTGGATTTTGTAAGTATTGTTGTCGAGCTGAACTGGCGTTTACAAAGCAGACCATTTACTTTTGATTCCACGTTTTTTCGTCTGGTGGCAGTCTGGGATATTTATTTATTCCACAAAGAGTTGGCTCAGGCACTACCATCGCTACTTAAAAGATCGATTAGATTTCAGAGGTCCAAATGCGTTCTTGATTTGTATCTGATGAATTCAGAGTTTTTATGAGGGACGAGCGAATTCTCTTTTTAACACTATTTTTCTGCCACATTAATTCTCGAACACATACTATTATAGGAACTGGCAGTGGCATCACCTTCTATCTAGATGGTCTCTGCAAACAAACGTGGGGGGAAAGGGCCACTAATTGTCTGTCAAGTTCATGTTGTTTTTCCAACTCTACCGAGCTTCATATTAATGAAACCTGATTACTGCTGAGAATGTGCTCAGGAGATAATAGCATGAACAAAGTCTGAATTGCTTATCAAAATATAGAAAAGAAAGGAATAAAATCTGATTTGGGACATACAAATTAAAAGACACAGCCTGCTGCTAACCCCAGCTCGTTGAGATATAAGGTACATGTACGATATCCCTTCAGCCGCAATGAGGTCGAACATGGATCAACACGCAGGTTTTTGAGAATTTCAATTTTTCTTTCTTGAAAGATAACTTTAATCTTTCTATAAAATACTCCTTAAATTTCTAGTAGCTGATATTAATGATTATCCTCGTGTTCTTTTCTCGAATATATTAAATTTTACCTCGTGTAGGAAAAAAAAATTACCGAAGTCCATATCTCACGAAATCGCAGTAGTATATACAAACTGAAAGACAGTTTACCAATAACGTGTCTGCCAAAAATGGCAATAGACAAAAAATAGATCAAGCACAACTTACTACCACAGGGGCGCTCCGATGGTTATCTGGCTTTTTCTCAGACTAAGGAGACAATAATTAGCATTTTAATGGTTTCCAACAGCAGACTAGTGCTATAATCACCACATACAAAAACCATTCATGTGAACAAACCCAACCATTAACCGTATAGGGCTTGGTCGCTAATCTCTATACAGATGTCTCAATGCCTCAATGGACGCTGAAGAAACCCTCCAAGCAGTTTTCATCTTTCTTTCAAGGAACCATTCATAGACTTTCTCAATTCCCATGGTAGGCAGCCTTTCAAAGGCGATTGTAACAATAATGATGATGTTGACAGCTGTTTTTGTCGCATTGAGATTGAAGACAAGCAACTAAAAGCACTTCTCAACCTTCTCTTCTCACTATCATAAGGTTGGCCGCAGGGGTCATGTCGAACAGCAGATATCTTAAGGGATTGAGGAAGTATGCAGTTGCATATTGAACCTATCATAAAGTCATTAGGAATTAAAGGCAATCATTGTGAACTCTTGAGAGGTGACATTATGCAATTTAAGAATTAAAAGCAACTTTCTTTAGATCAACATAAACACTGCAGACACTCGGGAGGTGAAGTCATGCAACATAAAGATACAGCTTTCTTGGACCCATCTCTCTGAAAATTCTTTTTTCCTTGAAAAATACATGATTAAACCATTATTTTTTGGAAAACCATTTTTTCAAGCAAAAAGCCCCTTAGTTTTAATAAGGGACCTTCTGCTGTGGAAATCAACTTTGCCTGCAATTACCATTTGCATAATGCACAAGCCATGCCCTGAAAAACAGTTCCAGAGTGAAGGATCATTTTTGCCAGAAACAACCACTACCATAGAAATTGTTCTGCCCAGGGCTGGGAAGTCTACCATCTTTTTGGGACATTTATAGTAAGGTGAGTCCCTGGCAGAGATTACTGATGCTGAAGGTTGGAGGGGACATACAGTTTGACATAAACAAAGCGCATGCATCTTAGGCTAATATAGTAGAAACTAAAAGACTAAAGTATATTATTGAGATTTCCTCTCTCTTTTCTCCGACTTGCAAACAGAACCATTTTAAGTTCCAGCAAGGTTTCAAATTGATGTTTAAAAGGAAAATTACTTCAGATTTGAAACTTTCAGTTGCATAAATCTAGATGTTTTCCATTAATGATTTCATGCAGTAATTTTTAAATCCTAGACTTAGTAAATGGTTATATGAGAAAGCATACCTATTTTTGCTAGTCGATTTACCCACTTTGGAATTGGTTTCCCAGTCAACTTGTAACAAATATCCTTGCAGAAATGGTTGCAGTTCTTAACAATCAAATGATATGTATCACCATGATAGCTTGCAGCATGCCTCTCCATGAATTCCCTAACCTGAATGGGGTCCAGGCATGTGGTCCCTATGAATAAGGACTTCTTGAACTTGAAGCCCGGACACTGCCGAGGTTCTACCTCAAAAACACCACTTGTTGGGTAGTCATGAGCTCCAAATGCATATTCTACTCCATGAACTGCACAGTGGAAGTAGGGTGATGAGAAACTAAGAAATTTAAACTAACTTGAAACTGGAGAGTAATATAAAAGAAGAAAATGCAGCAGGATAGGGCTTTCATCCATTGCTTGCAATGTTTTTATTCAATGCACCAGGATTGCACTGGTTTGGCTGGAGGTTGCTTAGGTGCATAGCAAGATTGAGAAACTAGTTTAAGATATTTGGGACTCAATGTTTCTCATTTAAGCAAAGGGCAACCTCCAGACAGGAAAGCAAAATTACTAAACTTGAGGTACATGATTAGAAACCATGAGTAAGAGCCTTGCCTTCTACACCAGAGTGAAAGATGCCGAGGCCTGCCCAGTAGGCATAGCTATTCATTGTTGTCAAGTCATACACATTGAGATAAACTGGTGTATCACCTGGACCATAGCTAGCTGGTCTTGGTTTGGGAAACAAACAAAAGCACGTGGCTGATTTGCCTTTCAAACGAAGGGGTATGATGGTTTTCCATCCTCTCTTTGATCCGAATTTCATATTTCCTTAAAGTAAGACCAAAATTCAACTAATGTTGCCCCCCAAACTGCAGAGACAAGAAAATAACAAGCATCAACCCTCAAAAGAACAAAATCAACGGAAATTTTTTAGATATAAAAAAAATGAAGAAAAAAAGGCAACTGCTGTAAAATTAAAACAATAGCTTTTACTGAGAAAATACATCAAAATCTGACTTAAAATCACAGCATATCCTTTCCAGCACTTCATGAGACACTGACTCCTGCATCTTGTGGATCATATACATTTCACTACAGAAATCTATTTGTTATGTCTTGATTTCTAGTTGATCTAACCGAATTTTAAATGCAAGAGTATTTGAGCTCTACATTACATAGTTTTCCTTTTTAATTTTTAACTCCCCCATTACACCATTATTTAAAAATCAGAAACAGTCAATAGCAAATTAGTATATTTTAGGTGATCTTTTCAAACAAAATTAAATAACTCCTTGCAGAATCTGCAGACTTGTCAACATTACAGCAACCATCTGCAACACCAGTTGACTGTCATCCTAAATAATTAGCAAAAGTAGTAATACATTATTTTAGACAATCACATTCACCATGAGATGATCAAAACTTTTAACAAATCTTAGTCCAACTAGTTATGGCTAGCAAACCAAAGCTTTTAAGGCAAATATACAGAACTCAAGTAATTGGAAACCAATAAAGAAGTAATGTACTGCTAAATTGCTTTGTATCCTAGAGTCCAGCCAGTCACTACTCGTATACTTAAATCCCCTACAGGCTGTGAACAGAAGTGAAATTCATAATAAACTTCCAATATATATATTATACTCCAAAGAGTCATCACTTGAAAACCATTAAATCTCCAAGGTAATGATTTTCACAGCATGACTTTTAGGAGAGGAAAAGGAACAATTAAGTTGCATAAAATCCAGTAACTTCAAAAATCAAGTCATGAATTCTAACAAAATGGACTAAATATTACCAAATTCATTGACAAGAGAAAATGAAATTGCAGCATTGCCTTTAGATTTTATAGTTAAAAGGAAAAATTGTTTCAGATCTAATCGAAACCATTAACAGTAACAGCACACCGATGTAATAGATCAAACAAAAACAAGTGATCCCAAAGAGCAACCTAAAACAAGATTACAAGAAAGAGAATTATACAGTTTGGGTTAATTATGATTAAAGAATACCAAGAACTCCTAAAAAAACAGAGATTTGGGGTCCAACAATATCTAAAATGAAGCAAGAAGACAGCAAGTTCTCTTTTTCAATTTTACCTCAAAATTTCCCAGGAATCAAGCAAACCCTTAAACGAGAAGCACTTAAACCAAGATGATGATAATAATAATAAATAAATAAATAAGGAGAGAAATAAAATGATAAAAAAATAACAGAACCAGAGTTAAAAAAAGAACTCACAGATTTGTTATCAGAAAGAGTAGCCATTGTAGCCCAAGAAAACCACCTTTCTAAGAAGCATCATTGAAATGAAAACCACTGTGAGTTGAAAGCAATAATGTTACTCCCTAAACAAGAAAAAAAGAGAGCCTATCTGTTTCTGAAATACTCACTCCTCTCTGACACAAAACAACAAAAAGGGCTAAAAATTAGTATAAGAAAATAATATAGCACCAACACAGTGTGTCAAGGTAAAAGCCAGCAGTCAATTTCTCTCCCTTTCCCTCTCTCTCCCTCTCCCTCTGTGTATCAGTGTATGCCTCTAATACCATAATAAGACTAGTACCATTAGCTTAGGTGCTAAATGACAAGGGAGGCTCTGTGGAGGGAGAGAGAGGAGGGTGGTTATTTAGGTGAGATGGAAAAGAAATTGGACAGAATATTTTAACCCCTCAAGATTTAGCAATGACTTATTTTGACCCCTATTAATTTTTTTCTAATATTACTGCTACGCATAACCATAAGTTCCAATGCAACCCTTTGTCTTTGAATAATGAAGACAATAGAGTGCTCATTATTTTTCTTATTATATTTTTCATCCCAAGTGATTTTATTCCAAAAAAATATTTAAAAATTAAAAAAGAAAATTACTTAACAAAAAAAGTTCAAACGGTGGTCAATTAATTATTTTTGTATTACATCGAAACTTTTTTGAAACCTTTGATATCAATGTTGAAACATTTTAGATTATAAAGACCGAAATGGAACATTAAAGAGTGCATAAGGATCAGAATATAGTTTACCAAAAAAAGGCAGAGATGAGGTTGACATGTCTGTGATACTTTTTACACAGTGTCGTGTACTGGTCCAGCTGGTAATAATTAGGCACGAATTTCTGCCACCTCTTTTTTTCTTTCACTCGGTCTCTCTTTATTTGAAAATTTAAGGATGTATGTGTCAGTCAGTAACTGTAGTATTTGGAAACAAATAATAAAACCGTGATTAAGAAAAGTAAATAGAGTAAATCTTGCCACTAATACATAATAAGATAGTGAAATGATTTGTGGCATGAAACTGTAGAAAAGCTCAGGGATTTAGATTTTCTGTGTTCCAAAATAAATATTAATTTCATCGTTACATCAAATTAAAAAAATCTTTAATTATAAACGAAAATATGTTGATCTTTTTTGGTGTGATTATAGTAGCGTAGCTAACAGTGTAATAACCAGAATGACAGAGGAATGTAATGGCATACTGAAATTATATGAGAAAAACTCCAATACTCCATACGTCAATATAAAAAAATACAACTTGAAATTTTATTTAATTGTGTGATCAAATATGAGAAAAGAAGACAGGACGCTCTGTACGAAAAAAAATAGGTAGAGTTGATCTTATCATACGGGACCGTTTCTTTCCTTATGGAATTTACCTTGAAAAGACATATGCCTGGTTATGGTGATGATTAAACTCGTATTTCTATCCAATACAAAAAATAGAATGTCATTGTCTAAATGCAACATCACAGTATTTTGTGGGTGCCGATTGATTTAGTTTAATAATTTTGTTGAAACTGATCTTGCTGGAATTAATTCAGAAAATGACCACTTTCAAACTCATTCCAAATAGAAAAATTCCACAGGTCTAGAGATATAAAAATTTGAACAGAGAGTGCCACGTACATTGTGTGTGAAAAAGTACAAGAGTTGACTCATTTTATTATTATTATTTTCTTTGAACCTTGGAGGAAGGAATAGCAATTTGATTCGAACGACAATGAATATGGTCGGAATTGACATAGATGGATGAATTTGTTCGAATAATTACTGTTTTAAATTGAATATAGATATTTAAAATTTTTATTCGTCATATAATGAATAAATGTTTCTACTTTATCAGTACAATATTTTATGAATATTTCTAACAATATCAAATTTTATTCTTATTTTGACATTTTTTAATTTCCTGATTTTTATTTCTAATTAATTAGAAAATAATTAGAGAAACTTGATAGTTATAAATCTGATATATAATTAATAGGTGATAATTGGTTATAATTTCAACTCAGTTATGACCTGTACAACTGTGACTTTGTCAGGATAACTTCGTCTAATATTATCTTAACTACAAATGAATTTAATAATCACAATTGAGCATTGCGCCATAAATTTCTTGGCATATTTATTTGCAAGTTTGTCAAGCTGTTTCCTAAAGAAAAGTTGAAACAAATATATATCTGGGATTAAATTAAACTCCCATCAATTTCTTCCTCAGCTAAAATAAAAGCGCGCATCCAAATTCGAGGGACCGTTTTTTAACTTCTCCGGCATGCCATAAACAGCCAAAAAAAAAAAAAAAAATCATGAATACACTATTTTAGATGGGACAACAATATATCCAACAAAAAGGAAATAGTCTTGGCACTTACCATAAACAACAAAAGGAAAAAAGTTAAATCCTGATAAAGACAGAAGGCAGTATTCCAATTCTGCGCGCTGAAGTTTTTAACCAGCAGTAGTTACATGAGAAGTTAAATGTTTACCGAGAGAGATTATGAACCACAATTTCTAACAACTCGAGTCCAATTTAAGCTATGGGTAGCGTTTGTAAGTTGACATGTCGTTTTCCCAAAGGGTCGGCAGGTCAACCACCCACGAGGGAAAAGCTTGCAGCAAGACCTCTTTTAGAGACGACGTTTACTACATTTGATGGATGCAAGAAATAAATCATTCGGGCTGGGTTGGAAAATTTTGCATAAATATCCACGAACGTTATATCAAGTTTAAGAGAGATACTGGCGCTAGCATTCCCACCTAAATTTTAGGTCACCAAGAGATCAAGATATATTTCAAATTTTATCATTAATTCGACAATCCTTCCGCTTCATGTGAGTAAATTCAGTTTAATATAGGAATTAAAGAGAAACCTTTTGGTTTTCGGGAAAAACCCTTCTAACAGTCTGCACAAACCACGAAAGAGCCTCAAATCGAGTCACATATTGTTTGGAAGCAAATAAATGTTAGAATTCGGAAGCTAAAGCTTACATTTCCAAGGACATTAAAAGTCACGACTCCACTATTTTATTGGCTAGCCATTGCAGTTGTGTTATTGTATGTGTCCTCACTCTTCGAAGTCAACATGAACCCGTGTACGCACGTATATTTTCGTATTCTAGGTACCCCCAACATATTTTTCTGTGCAGAATTAAGTACCACAAAAATTAATGCGAGCTCCTATAGACTACAGTGGAACAGCTGGTCATGCCAAACTGCTTTAAAAGCCTTCATGAACATCCAGTGTGAGCTTGGCCTACCTCCCATGACCGGAATTGCTCATAAATTACTTTTTCTGTAACAAACGCAATAAGTCTACAGAGGAGAAGTAAAATTGTACTCGCAAATGCTACTCATAAATATCTATCTCTTTCTCACGATCAACATCTGTGTTCATAAATACTTTTTTTTCTATGAAAGAAAAATTCATTAATCAAGTAATTTGTGAAAAAAAAATCTAATTACAAAGCAGCATATTGCTTTTAAAATTGATAAAAAAATCACTTAAAAATCACTATAAAAATTCCTATTAGCACAAAAAAATATATCTAGAATTTTTTAAAGGTTTTAGCTAGCAGTTTAGTGCCTTAAATCTTCTTTGCATAATCACGATGACATTTTTTATAATGTGTTTTTCTCACATTACAGTACAGTGCAGTAGTGATACTGTGCGGTACACTTACTTTTATTTGGTGTGCGCAGGATAAGGAGTGGGTAAAGTGGGAGTACTTTAGCATGATTTTGTGAAGGATTTGCTAATGGATTTTTGTTTTGTTTTGTTATTGTACAGTTTTTCATCTTTCTTTTTTTTTTTTTTTTTTGAGGTCTCTCTTTATTTATATGATAAAAAGCCCAACTCTATTTATGTTATTTTGTAGGGTTATATGTATTCCAATACTATTCACGTACTCATATAATATTATTCACTTAATGGTTTTTTATGATTTTAAGATACGACATTTTTGTTATTTTAAATTTTTTTAAACATTTATTTTGTTTACAATACTATTTATCTTTTTTTACTGTGCATTGAATTTTTTTTTCCATATAGTAATTTTGAGGTTTTTTTTCCAGCATTTTATGCTTAAAGTTTTAATAATGTTATTTTTTAGTCCTTCATTTTTTTCAGTAAATTTTATTTCAATCCATAACTTTATTTGTATTGTAATTTCACCCCTCATTATATATATAATCTAACGATTAAAAGTGTTTTTTAGATAATTTATTTTGATTTTTTTGAAAAAAAGAAAAGAAAAGTTTTTAGTTAAGAATCTATGGATTTTTGATTATTTTTTTTCATAAGTTTTTAGTTAAGAATCCGGATATAAAATAATAAATCGTATTCTTTTTAGCAACAAAATTATAAAATAATTAATTAAACAAAAGATTAAAAAAATAGTTTCGATTTTATTTTTGATTTGATATGTTTTAACGAGATCCATAATATAAGAAGTACCATCAAACTAAAATTATTTTTTAAAATAATTTTATATGTTCTATTCGACAATAGTGTAATGCGAATAAAAACTAGTAACGATCTAAAAATGGTTTTTTGAATAAAATTTGAGGTAGTTAGTGTGGGTACGGTAGCAAGATCATAGTTATTTTAATTTTGGATTGGTTGTTCATTTAATAGGAAGGAGATGGCGGAGATTTGCCAGTACGAGGCATTCTACTTCGATGGGTTTTATTTTGTTTTTTAGGAAGAGAAAAGGAATTCAAGATATTCCAAATGAAAGAAAGAATTACCAAAGAGTTTGTAGTCGAGCAATGATGATCTCTTACGGGGTTTTATTTTATATTTTATTTTAATTTTTTATTTAAAATATTATTTTATTATTAAATTTTTTATTTTTTAATTTGAATAAAAATATCATATTTTAAGACAATTGATGATTGACGACTTTTACTAGTAATATCATATGAATAATAAATGATGTATAACGAAGAATCTAAATAAAACAAATTGAAAAAGGTAGAAAATTTCGAACAAGTAAAAAAAATTTCAATAAAAAAAAATTGAAAAATACAATATTTAAACGTGGAAATGTTTTTATAATAATATTAATTTTTCTTCCTGTAATATTGCGAACTCTCATATTTTTATTTTCTAAACAAAATAAAATATCAACACCGAACAATTTATAAGATAATTGCATCAATTATCACTTTTGTAAAAATTACTTATTCTAATAAAATTCATCATTTCAATAACCTATTTGTCTTTCAATTAATGCCACAAAAAGAGTCGAACCTATTGTCACACGGATTTGGTTACAGCCATGCAAAAAACATGGTCTCTACTTTCATTTGTAAAATTACATGTGTCGTATTTGGCGTCAATCATCCATCCACATTAGCTTCCCTGCATTTAATAATTAATTTATCCAAAGTAATCAACCAATAGATGAACCTGTGCCTATGAATGTGTGAAAGGGTCCCATGATAGCTTTTATCAATCAACAATTTTGCATTTTATCCTTGTAACTTCCCACTTGCTTTTGGTAGAAACTCAGCCATAATGAGTTAAATTTCAATAAACAACATATATATATTTTTTGAAAAGGACAGATAAATCACATCACAAATTGTACTCGCTCTATTTGACTGTTTTTAACTTGCAAGGCACCTTCAATTATCACCATATATTATTTTCCATAGCGTGGTATTCGTGGAAATCCCATAATTGTTCATATTTCCATAATTTCCAATTTGCTCATAAATACCTGTCAATTCTGTCAAATATTTAATAGTAACAGCAAGTAATCTTGGAAACTGGAGTAATAATATTACCAGTAAGAAAGATTCTACATCAATGGAAAAGGCAAGTGTCAATTCTGTCAAATATTTAAGCAATATCGCAAGGAGAATTTATGTTCCTCAGCTTTCACAATTACTTAAAACGTTTTTTTTTTTTATCAGAAGTGTATTTTACTTACGCAGATTGGTACGATGCCAGTATATGAAGGTAAATGCAAATAATGATTGAACCAGTGAATATGAATCTAGTCAATTCAAAGAATAAACACGCGCTGCTCAATTGAAATACTCGTTGCTGTTGCTTTTTTTGAACTAATCACAAAGGCGTACTTAAACATGGATTATGTGTCAATTAAATAGAACTTGGGACCTATACATGACAGAATCCACTAGCAATTCAAATTTTCTACGGTAAAGACCGACTTTTATTGGCAACTTTTGATGTAGGTCCAACGTTGTCTGATTGGCAAGTGTCAGAAGGCAGACAAAGCTATGGAAGAGCTGTAGGGGTCTGGTAAGGTAGAAATCATCACACACAGTTTCGACTTTCGTGGTACTTCTTAGGAAAAAAGACAGTTTTTCCAAAACATATATATAGAAACGACAAGCATGTTATGGGCTCAAAATTGAGGTTGAGGTACCATAGAAACCAACTGAAGTTTTTCCTCCCATGCGTTCTTACGGGTCAGATAACAGGGAGCATAAGGTTTTTCCTTAGTAGGGCCTTTGGTTAATTGTGACGTTCCAACTTCCAATTCATTGGTCTTTTCTTGAGCATGGAATAGAGTTTCAATTCCAAATAGGGTATGGATCTTGGCCAATTGGATTAGCTCACTATCCTCCACATGTTAGCCATGTTGTGTTCTGTGTGGTTTGAGATGATGTTATTGATCCATTCAAAACCACATTCTATAAAGGAAAAGTTGATGAAAGATTAGTTAAAATTACATTATAAATAAAATTAGTAAAAGTTAGAGGAGCGAAATCACAAAAAAAAGGTCAAAAATAGGAAAATATAAATAAGCTCTATTTATTTGACAAGCATCTCATATGAACTACTACGATTCAATAAATGTTTTTTTTTTTTTTTTTTTTTTTCACATGAACTGTATAAAAGGAGAACTCTATGACCATATTCAATTTCCATTTTTTCAATCTTTAATAATCCAAATACTTTTATTATAATTTAACAAGAAACTTATATACCTGAAACAAAAACAGTTTTTTTTTTTTTTTTTGCGAAAATAAAAAAATAAAAATTTGGTTACCAAGTATTTTTCAGATTATTAATTACTGTCTCATTTTCTCAAGGATATATGTGGAGACTAAACTAGCTCTCGCGCAAGCGGATATAGTTTAATGTATACCAAATAGTTTATTTTAATAAAACAAGTTTGAATTTTAACGATTTCTATTTTTTTATTATAATTATTATATAATGAGAGAGCCTAGACCCGTTTATTATATAAAAAATGAAATCTCAAATATGATACAAAACCAAAGATGATGTGTCTCCAATACACAGCAGCACACCGTACAAACGAAACACCTATCCACAGTCTAAAGTATAATTTTCTCACAAAAGTATTTTTATCACGTGCACTAATATACACAAGCATCTCGATGTCCTTGACCTGTGAGAAATTGGTATCTATATACATCGGTCGCACATCACAATCACGCTGCTCCGAGTGTGTTGAAATGAGTCCATGCTTCCTGTGTCAACGCAGGGAGTGGATAACTTTGTTGGATGGATTTAGAATGCTAATGATCTCTTTAAGAGACTTATTGGAAAAAAAAAAATTGACTTCAACAATTAAGAATTAACTAAATATTACCTGCAAAATATCGAAAACTTTTTCTGCGATGTATTTTTGATGCCAGGTAGCACCTTTCTGTTGTAGTTTATCAGGGTGTAGATAGAGTAAGGCCTTTTGATATGTTCTTTTCACTGCATTTCCTTCAATTATATCAACAAGAGGCACAGGCTTCCACCCACTTCCAGACCAAAGAACCTGTAAGTGCAGCCAATATCAGTTTAAGAGGCACACAGTTCTAAGAATGCCCTTCAAGAGAGCTACTCTAACAATTCCAAGGCAAACTAAATTAGTCAAAGCCTAAAGATATGATTTAGAACTTGATGAGATGCAATTTACTAGGTTTGGTCACGAATTACCTGCAAACCACTAAATATAGAAAATGCAGTAGGTCTGATGCTACTGTAATTGAAGTTCAGATAAAAGAATATGCACTCTAGATAAAAATTGTACAAAAGGCACGAGTAGAAGGCAAACTCACATAATGTAAAGTTGACAACAGGGAGCGGATGTTGCCGTCCTTACCTTTCGACCACTTCTGTATTTGATCATCAATGACCTGCAATGTATGAGTTCCAATTACTATTTCCAGTTAATGTTGAAAGAAAGAATGGAGTGTCTTTGTCTATATTCTGCTTTAATTACTTTGATCTCCTCATGGTTATCGCTGGTTTGCGGCCCCCTTTCCTCACCCTGGGGTAATTCTGTGATCTGTCCACAAGGTAAAATATACTAGCTCATCAGTAATTTCACGAGTCAATTAAATAATACTTATATCTACAAAAAAAGAAGAAGAAGAAGATGGTGGAATGCCGTTATTCTTGTGAACGAAGAAAAGCAGGGTTCAATTTTGAGTCAAGTCGTAATATCATATCTTCAATATGAAATAAGAACAAAATATGCAGTTATTTATTTATTTTTAATGTTTGCAGCACCGAATTTCAAACAAAACCTGAACAATAACATCTAGCAAATGAACAATAACTAAAAAAGAGAAAAAAAAAAAACTAGAAACAACTAATTTTTATATAAACGAATCACATACCAGAAGGAAGGACATGTCTGTATCTCCAAAAGTTGATTCTGAGCCATCAGGAACGCATGCTGTCAACGACATTTTAATGCATCACATATCACATCCTTTAACAATCATCAACAACGAGTCCAAATGCTTTTTGTACGATGTAGTAAGTTCAGTAAGAGAAACTTAGTCTAGCGAAATTGCATAACTGGAATATATGAATCATGGTTCAGATGAACATGAAACATACCGTGCTGCTTCATCATTGATATTAATGCATAAAAATCATTTGTCTCGGTGGATGGTATCCAAAATCTCCCAGTTAACATGAAACAACTAAAATAACCTATAGCATCATGCATCTCATAATTATACCTAGTCTCTTCCCACAAATATATCGAAGCCGCATTAGTCATCTGGTTGAGAATTAATATCAAAATACCTGCAGTTGAAACTGAGCTATCCTTACATCCAGAAGAAATGCTCATGGACTTAAGGTTGTTTCCCTTTGACTCAGCACGTTGTTTCTCAGATTGTATAAAACATTCGTCGACCTGGAGATTACAAAAAAAAAAAATTGAAAATTTCAGATGCAAAGGAAGTGTTGAAATAATTTTTCATCCCGAATGCTACCAAATTGTATGAGCTGTCGTAAATATCTGACAAAATAAATGCAAAATCATTTTCAGTTGAGTACCAGGATTGAAACATCTGGCATGTTTTTATTGTTAACATTCATGGTATTGTCAGTCCTGAATTTGCCTCTTTCCGTTCGTCTAGAACCCTGATGTTGAGAGTCATTAACATCGATGTTGGGTTTTTCTGAACCTTCCTGATTGAAAATTTTAACAAATTCCTTGACCTTTCCCCTAGCTCTGTTATTCCCAAGGCTGTCTCTTGATTTTGTAGATGAAAATTGAAAGTTAGCTTTGTCCACCTCTACACTATTCGCTGTAGCTCTTTTCTCACCTCGATCCTCTACATTTTCTCTAACATCAAAAACTGCAGATGATTTTTTGGTACGATTTACCTCAGTTTTTCTTCTCATCTCATCAGTACCTGCCAGAGAAAATAAATTTGTTATTAGAGACATCACATAAGATGCATGCTTGATCCAGATTCTAGAACATGACTACCTTGCTCGTCATCATTCTCAGATAACAGGGAACGTAGTGGTTTTAACTTGGTGTTGTGACCCTCATGCGTAACTACAGAAATTTCTTCCTTTGTTTTTTCTATTAAGTCCATTTCAGGAGCAGAGTGATGTTTTATTTCTATTGAAGGCTCTAAGACAGAATATCCAGGACCATCTTCAATAATCACTTGATGAGTGGTTGGAGCATCCAACTCAGATATAGGAAAAATTGTGTCCTCAACAATTTGACGCGGTTCTACTTCACCCTGAATGCTTGTATCGAAGATGAAGTGATTATCTTGTTTGTTAACCTCCATGCCACTACTGAACGAGGGAACATCAATATCATGTGAAGTTGCTGAACGTAATTCTCTTGCTATACCCTCGCTTGCTATCCATCCATTAGCACTTGAACATCTCTGAAGTTTGCACTGTTCATCGAGCCTTGTTTTGCTAGCTCCTCTAAAAGGCATCGCAAAGAGCATTCCTTTGCTTGCCCACTTGTAAATAGAAAAATGAAATTGGTTTCCATTTGTTGGAACTTCAGAACTCTCCGAATCCATTTTCAAATTTCTGCTTTTGTCTGTTTCTTCGGGTTTGGTCGAGTTTGATGACTCCTTGCTGCTATGAGATAGCTCGTTCGATAAATCGCTCTGCCAAGAGACATCATTAGTCAACTGGTCTCTAACTTGGTTCGTTTGGCTTGCAGATCTACGCAGAGAAGAATGTGTATAATTGCTCACGTCATTTGAAGCACCATCCTTATTTTTTTGATGGCTACGAGCACTAGAAATAAATGTTGGCAAGTCTTTTCCTTTAATCAGTTTGGCAGGGAGGCTGCAAAATTAACCATACAGGATTTGACCTTTAGGGATTCATTTGTTCAAAAGACAGTCAAACGCAAGCAGATAATACTTAATAATAATGTAGATGAGAACAATTACAGAACAAAGAATCAATGACCACTACCAGATAGCAGATTAATACCGAAAAGCATTTGAATAACCTTCGAAATGACATACCATCATCTCTTATGGCCATAAAGGACTTTCTTAATCGGGGATTTATGTTGACTAATGAAAAAATCATCTAAATTATAAGATATGAGATGCACAAAAATAAGCAAATAGCAATTCGGAAAGAAGCCAAAACCTGAATTGTGCAGGCAGTGATGGGCTCCAGGGATCAGCTCTAGCTGGCAGCTGTCCAGCAGGGCTTAAGACTCTGGAACATGGACTCGAAGAAAATGAATCGCGGTCATCTTTCCTCGGAGAAGGACCCAAAGACTCGTTGCCCTTGAAAATATCATCAAAGAAATCATTGCTTGGATATCGCCTTCTATTGACATTTTCATCTCCAAACACTGGCTTCTCACGTAGACCAGACAAACTGTTGCGAGACAACTTGGCTTCAGCATCACCATTTTTTGATACAAATGAATCTGTTGTTTCAGCAAAACTATACCGAACCTGCTGAAGCGACAATCGCTTCGGCGGGCCACCAAAAACATCGGTAAAATCAACATCTGAGTTTCCATATTGACTCTTTGGAGAAGAACTTGGATGGTTTATCACCGGTAACAGAACACTTTCTCTCTGAGAAAACCTCTCCATTTCAACCAATAACAAGTACAGAGTACCCTTAAAAACAGGACAATTCAACTAGACAAGACGAATCTAAACAAAAACAAAAACTGGCAGGAAAGTCCCATCCAGCCTTTTGATCATGGAACTGCTCCTGATGGGGTTCTTGTTGTTCAATCAAGAACTTGAAAAGATTTTTCTTTTGAGAATCTTGGTATTGAGGTATGGATGAGATGCATACAAACAATAATGTGGAAGATTTTAATGGGAAAATACGAAGGTGGGGTTAGTGGTGTTTGAAGCCGCTAGCAAAACTCAGTGTTTTTGTGTGTGGATATCAGATAAGGAGTAGAAGATTCTAAACGACAACCAAGGTCGTAGGCTATCTTTGTCGATAACCTGAATTTTTAGAAATTAATTCTTGGTGACCGTTAAACTCAGAATTTTTGTGATCCCACGTTGTTTTGGGTTCGTTTTCCGCAACCTCGATTAGGATAACAGCCTCTTACAGGTTGCCAAGCAATGAATGAAGTCGTGAACTTCTTTTGGCTCCTTCCTTCTGTCCATGTAAATTAAAAGAAAAATCAAATTAAAATTAGTTAGAACAGAGCCAAACAGCCACTTCGGTACTAGTTGTTTTCTCCCATTGGTCCTGATGATTCTGTGGCCCGTATTTGGCGAGCCTTATGCACTTAAATTTGGTCTTAATTATTGCAGCAGATGTGATTAAAATTGGCATAGAAATACAGTGGAGGCCCCGATCTTAATACCGTTAAGGATTGAACTGTAGTAAGATTCGTCACCGCGGAGAAAATACTTTTACATGGTAATCCAAGCTAATTTCCTGTCCGTGTATTAAGGTGGGTGGGCTGCCGCCGGTTGACTGAAGGCAACAACCAAGAAGGGGCTCTGTCAAGAAAGGACGACGGAAATCTAACCCTCCAGAAAAAATTATTACATGGACCTGATTCTGGTTCATGCTAGTAAACCAATCACATTAGAAAACCCACTTTAGCAACCACTAATAATATGTACCGGATCTACTGCACAAAGTGATGAGATATTTATGGTCCATATGAACCTTAAGTCCAGTGCAATAATTTTTTTGTTTCTCACAAAGGGATTCGAGCCAAGAAGTATGAGGATCATGGTCCTTGCTGGTCCAGTCATATCCTAGCCGCCCACCAGGGTTATTGATCCCAACTCCACCAGGATGCAACAAAATGTCACTCTTAAAAAAAAAAAAACGAATCAAATATCCCAGAAACTATCAAAGAATAGAGCTTGCAAGTTGCAGCAAAATCTATCATGAAAAATAACAAACCTGTTCATATTGTTGGCACACATAATATAGCACAGGTGAGACCAGTGGGGTTGCTCCGATGAAAATTTAAAGCTAAAGGAACAATACAAACTAAAGTTTTAAAGAATACAGAAGGAAAAATATCTCACATCAGCTACAGGTAAAATACAAACCAAAAGCTCAAAGAAAATCAAGGAAAAAGTTTATCTCACATTTCCGTTCAAAGGTAATCGAGTTGACCTACCTGTATCATGCAAATAGTTAAGTGAAATGATCTGTGTGGAAAAACTAGATCTCTCAAAATTCTCTCCATAGTTGTACGAGTGTCCCTACCAATCAGAACCATCAGGGAAAGGATCCAACGCATCTTGCTTCCCATTAACATAGAACTCTACCACTGCTTGCATTCTTCGAAGTTTATCCGGGTGATAGTTTACATGAACAATTACTGGCTTCAACATTTTTAGTGCAGGATCTTTCCTCACTGTCTTGAAAAGGACCTTACTATTCATAAACAAAAACATATCCATTGTTCTTTTTGCAGCATGGAGCCCATCATACCCGGGATGAGAAGGGAAGAAAAGCTCCTCGTTGAAAACGGCTTGGTCCCATGAGTTTGGCTCTCGAGACAAACGACCCGCCACACGATCCAAAAGCTCAAAGGAAGGAAGTGTAGGCCTTATATAAAAGAATCCAGAATTGTAAACCCATATCCTCATTGTATGAGCATAACGGGCCCACCCCATGGCAGGTTCATCAAAGACATCATTAAATCCATAAGCTGTCATATTATTGTGACCATCAGACATGGATTCAACATCAGAATCCCGATGAAGATGATCAAATGGGTTCTGTAAGTATATTATATCAACATCTGACAGAAGAACACTGTAACCCAGCTGCAAAAATTCCCTCAAAATACGGAACTTCAGTCCAGAAACAGCATGGTTACCTCCGGTTCTTGCAACAGAATCAATACCACTATCTGGATTCCTCTTATACACTGGAACATCATTTGACTTGCAGAAATCTACAATATGGTCATCTAATGCTACAACAAGGTAATTGTGTATGCCAGCTTTCTTGATGTTAGTGAACCAGACTTCTAACATGGTTTTCACATTTGAATTTGCAAGTGCAACTATAAGCTCCTTACGATCAGCAATTTCCTCCAAGAGTTTTGCCAGTCTAGGATTCACAGACTCATCAGGAACAACAGTTGGGTTAGTTCTCAAACCCTTGACAGTACCAAAAGGACCAGCTTTCTGCTGTTTACCCAGTAACAAAACCTGTTTCTGAGCATGATCTTGTCCTTGTTCTGCCAGCTGCAGCTTTTTGTTTAGCTCCCTAACTTGCTTCTTCAACTCGGCATTCTTCTCCGATATCGACACAATATCAGCTTTCAGCATTTTAACTCGCTCTGGCAATTCACATGAAGACGAGCCAGTCTAATAAACAAAAAATAGCAAATCACAACACAATAAGTGCCCTATAAATCAATAAATTCAAAATATATATCTATAGCAACCATTAAATGACAATTCCCAATGACTGACAAAATATTAACTTGGAGATGCATACTACGCATCATGTGACAAACAAATCTATGTTCAAACCAACAACTAAAATGACAAACCTTACTTTTTTCACTCTCACCAAGCCAGGGAATGCAACAAGAAAGGCAAAATACTAAACACAAAGAATAAGACAACGAAAGGAACACTGGGGAAATGATGCCACTTCCACAACTAAATTAATGGTACAAAGCTGGCTTCTCTTCAAAACCATTATCAATAATCTCCAAAATTTTCAATTATGTATCCTTTTAGTTTCACCAAATTACCCCATTCCTTAATGAAATCATGTCTTCAATTCATTCACTAGAACAAAGAGCAACCTGAATTCTAACTATCAAAGCAACTGACGCCATCAAGAACACACATACATCCAATTTCTGCAAGAAATAAAGTCAACTCTCTCGAGTTCATAAGAAAAAAAATTCAAAATTCAAGAACAATCATTACCTATCAATTAAAGAGAATATTACACTCATCCCGTCTCAAAAAGTTGTCTATCTTTGTATTTATATTTATATATCTACTAAATATTTCTTTGGTAAAAATTTTATATGATCTAATTTTCTAAAATACTCTTAATTAAAGCCTATTTTTGTAAAAGATTGTCTGAATACAATTTTTCAAAAAACTATTTTATTAAAGTATGAACAAAAGATGCTAAAAAAACAATTTCATGAACAAAGGATGCTGATATGACATAACAATCAACAATCTTCTTCATCTATATGAAAAGTCAAAAGAGTACTAGAAAACACCAGAATTAAGTTGACCCGCATTAACGACCCTGGCAACAATCACAAAGCAGTGTGGAGTATCAACAAAAGATATGGACAGAGAGATTTGAAGTATTTAAGGCAAAAATATTCGAACCTGGAGATTAGAATTAGCAATTCGATGACGTCGGCTAGCCAGATCGGAGCTAAATAACCCATGAGGATAAAACACAGCAAAGACGCAGCCAAAAAGGACACCAATGAAAATGGCTATGCCGATTCGAGATCCGAGAAGTGATTGCCCTTTTTCTCTTCGAAGAACTGCCATGCCTACTTCTTGTGTTACAGTCCACAGAGAGTCTAGAAGAAGGATAGTCAAATAAGCAGTGGAATTTGCCTTTATTTGCAACACTAAATAGACAAAGTTAATTTGTTAAAGAGTGTTTTTTTCTCCTCGAAGAACTGCCACGCCTTCTTCGAGTTGATTCTTTGTTTCTCTTTTAAATTAGTAGACAGAGAGACAAACGAAGACTTGATCGTGCAGCAGAGTAGTTGTTTTGAGTAAATTATAAATTAATAACTCCATTTTCGATAAATAAATTATTAGTTTTTTTTTAAAAAAAAAACTAATTTTTTAGTTCTTTAAACAATCTTAATTATGTCTAATTAATATTAATTTATTTCAAAACTAAATTATTTATTTTTTAAACAAAATTAATTATTTAACTCTTTAAACAGTTTTCATGTTTGATTTAATATTAATTCATTTCATAAAATATCATATTTTATCATAAACCTTTCATTTTTGTAAAAAATAAAAAATCTTAATAAAATGAAAAAAATTAAAAATTAAATTATAAGAAAAGTTAAATATATAAAATGAGTTATTATTATTATTTTTTAAAAAAAATTAATTAATTTGTTTTTTGAAACTAAAAGGAGTAATTTACAATTTACTCTTGGCCCCCCCCCCCCCCCCCCTAAAAAAAAACAGAGAGGAGAAGATCGGGTAGGGTGGTTTGACTGATCTGCAAACAGATATCAAGTCTTGGCCTTACAATTGTAAACATAAGGATCACATGGCTTTAAGTTCGTGGGGCCCGGCGACTCGAAAAGATAATGCTAACGATCAAAGGAAATGTTGCGAATTCAAATTCACCCCTGTTCTTTAAAACTTTTCAAATAAATCCTAATGAAGTATCGCCCCCAGGATAATAATTTTATATTCGGGCTCTCTCAGGCGCCCTTTCGCCCCTGTTGTCTCCCTTTTTTGTTTTTTCCTTCGGTAGACTATTATACTTCAGTTTGTATAGAATGTAGAAATTACACTTTGATTTTTCTTTAAAATTTCGATATTAATTCTGTAATTTTAAAAAATTTCAATCTGATTTCGGACTATTAAATAGATAACTGAATTTACCAAGATTATTCCTTTTTTTTCCTATTTTATTTGGATACACCTAACAAAATATCTTAAGACTTTTATTAAGAATCATTTAAAATTCTTATTCAATCTTCACTTTCTTTTTTTGGATAGAAATTATCATAAATAGTAAAACATCATTGACTTTCATTTGAATATTAGTTGCAGGTTCAAGATTATGTGGGAGGTTCATTTGTGTATATTTGTTATGATTTTTATTTCATGATATTATTTAGATTAGAGTTAAATACTCAAATATAATTAGATTATTTTACTTTACTTTCACATCTTTGTAGGCTTTTTTTTATAGAATTTTAGCAATGACATTATTAAGAAATACATCGAATAAATCTGTAGTATTCGCACAGAAGTCTCTAATTTGATATTAAGTAATTTTTTTTTTGGAAATTAAAAAAGCATAAAATCTGAAGGAAAAGAAAGAAAAGGTTAAGTAGATCTTTTACTTTTTTGGAAAAATAATGAAGTTTTTGACGATTTGCCTGAAGATTTTAACATTTAAGAAAACATAAAAGGCACATAATCTGGAGGAAACAAAAGAAAAGTCAATAAGATATAGAAAATTTTGTTATTTTCTTGCTTAATTTTAAAATTTTATTCTCTTCGTGAAAGGATTACGTGTAAAATGAATTATTTTTTTTCTCTTCATTCATTTTCTATCCAATTTCATCTTGATATAAAAGACATTCTCCATAAATTCCCAACTTTTTTTTTCTTCTGAACATTAAAGTTGCATAGAATCCTTAATCAAGTAGTTATTCAAGATTTTTATCTCTTATTATGCAGCACCAGCAGTAAACGAAAGATCAAATTATTCAACATCATAGTTTATGTCTCGTGACATGTAATTAATATATTGAAATGACATCTATAGAAGTATTTATCAAATTTTAAATATTATATCTAAAATAAATTAAACATTCTATATATATATATATATATATTCAATTTAAATTTTTAACTGCTCCTAATTTTTTGAAGTGATAATATAATTGTGTCACTTGATATCCTTATTTAATTATGGAAGGGCTCGATTGAAAAGTATTAAGGATATTAATGATACACAATTGAATTCATATACCATTATAAACTTTTAAGCAACTTCAATGATTTTGATTTGTTTTTTTTACTAATTCATCTTATCAGAATATACTTAATGTGCATCTTCAATTAAAAATTTATGATATGAGCTTTCAATGAATTTGATAAAAAATAATTAACATATTATAAGAAAATATGATTCAAAGTTTTTAGTTTACAATTTGTTCATATTTTCTTTTTCTTCAAACTTAATACTTATTTTTTTAATTTTTTTTTTTTTGTATACTTGACCACAAAGACTCATTTATATTTTAATTTTTTTTAATTAGGTGGTAAAATATCATTGGTTGGTATGGATTTCCAATAACACATAAGCAAGCATTGTATTCCGTTATATAACTTCTTATGTTTTGCATCCGTTTTATTGTTGTATACTGATAGATATATAAAAATAATAATCCCCTTTTGGGCTCTTTATAACTCAATCCAAAATAAAAAAATAAATAAATGCAGTAACATGGAAGGGATCCTTTAAGAACACATTGGCGTTTTCGATTTATTATGGCTAAAACGTAATTTACCGTCTTTTTTCGTTTTCTAATGTTTTTAGGTGGGGAGAACCAATTTCCTTAAAAGAATGGGCCAAGCCCAGCAAAAGCAACACACAAGGGCACGTAGTTGAAGAAAAAGTACGAATGCCCTTTTGACAGAACATCAGACAATTAGGACTCCAGCCCAAAGAAAGTTAAAGTGGCACCGGCAATCATGCAGTCCTCCGTTTAAACTTCTTCCGTCCTGCTCCCTACAACACACGATGATGACGTTAGTCGTTCATAGTTTCATTCACCCCTTTCTGGGTCCTCATTGCTAGCGAACCTAAAGTAAAACCCTATCTTTAAACAATTTTTTTTCCAGTCAGTCAATTGAATACAATTTGTCAAAATTAAAAATTTATCTCCAGATAATGGAGCAATCTTCACAAACTGAGCCATCATCAGCAACTTTCTTTCCTTTCATCCTTCTTAGTATCATCACTCACCCCAACCATCCCTACCCTCCTCATTTAGTGGCGTCTTTTTTAGTTTGACAAATTATTCTCAATTGATTAAAATTAAAAATACAATAACTTAATTGACCAAAGTAATCATAAAGTTTTTTTTTAAAAAAAATGACGATAATTGGCGAGGTTGAAGCAACCCACTGCATCAATTCAGCGGTAAATTTAAACTACCTTTAATCTGAGAATAAAATACACAACAGCCACCCTTAAAAGGGTTGGCTCGAACCATCCGAAAAAAGTTCGCTACCAAACTATCATTATCGCATATATAATGAAAATTAAGCTACAAAATTAAATTTTGGCATATCAACAATAGCTGTCCCCCGGTCAACTGATCATATATTCTTTGATAGCAAAACAACTAGAACGTAATCCAATATACCTGACAATAAATATTTACATCGGATGTGTTTCACGATAAAAAGTATTTGACAGTGTTCAAGCTGAACGAGTAGCAATAATCTTCCAAGCGACAAAACTGGATCAGCGCAATTCTTAAGGGGAACTGCATGCTTGAGAACAAGATTTCTTTTCCTGCTTAATATGAACAGGAAAAAAAAACAGAGAGAGAAGAAGAACAAGCATGTCATTAGTAAATCATTTCTGGAATAAACTCCACTCTTATCACAATCAATTTGACTATCTTTGTTCAAAGCTGCATCATGATACTCGAAATGATAGAGAAATGAAAACAAGTAGAAGAGCAAGAAGAATGCATATTTTTCTACACTAGTTTGTTGACAACTAACATTTGGTCCTAATTGATGAAAAATGAGCAGCAGGGAGAGATGGTCAAGCTTGTTAGCATATTGTTAATGCCACATTGGAAAGCTTCAACCTCCCTGGTGAAATATGAAATTTGAGCTTAAGTCTCCCGCAGGGGCTTGATCTCAAGCAGCTAGCTAGTAGGAACTGGAAAAAATCAACTTAGACAATTCCTTCATGATAAAAAAAAATGAACGCCTAGATGTCAACTCTTTAAACATCAACCAATGCCTAGGAGACTCCAGTTGGTCAAGTGAAAAGGGATGGGAAATCAGGGAGCACAAATTGAGCAGCAACCACACCACTAATGAAGATGAAGAAATATAGGAAAGAAAAACTTAGCCACAAGCAAACCACAATTAAAACTTAAGCACATTTGGTGATTACTTAAATTTCTAGGACTCCAAAATCTGCAAGCAAAAACCCCATGTCCCAAGATCATGCACATAGGCTAGAATTACAACATGCCATTTTGACTCCTCTTGCACGTCAAAACTATTGTAGAGAACTTGTATATACATGCACACACACACATGATAGGAAGAAGAGTCTTACATCATCAGAGCTGGTAATATATGAAACAACAACAGTGATGTCGTCAAGCTTGCCACCATAATAGCGAAATCCAGCATCTTGTGCAGCAGTGGAGAATGGAGTTTGCCGGTCTTTATCTTGAGCTCGTTGCCGTGCTAATGCAGCTATTTTCTGAGCTGTTGCCTGAGGCTCTAAGCCAGCTCTCATGGCATGAACCACCACTGCAGTAATTTCATTGTTGTACAAGTTGTCAAACAATCCATCTGTTCCAGCAATTATAACATCTCCAGGAGCAACAGGAATTGTGAAAACCTGGATCAAATGGGGTTCTTTAGCTCATCTACACGTTCCACAATAGACCATGACTGAACCATTGCCAAAACACACACACACACACATACACACACACACACACACACACACACACAAACCATATGTATTTTTCTCTCAATCACAACTGCTTTTGGAGATTCTAAGGCCAGGTATGACTATCAAATCTCATAGACAATCAACCATGACTAGAAAATCAGAAATATAGAATTAGTAGGGTTGCAAGGAATACAACAAAAGCATGTTTGCAATGGTCAATTAGGTTCAAGAAGATCTGAAATCATTAACGATAGATCAGACCATATGAATGCTAAGCCATTTCACATGACCACATATCTGTACTTCCACACACGATCATCCATGACCAAAAATTCAGTTACGTAGCATTTAGTATGGTTGCTAGGAATATAACTGCTTGCAATATTAAGTTAGGTTCGAGAAAATATGACACAGTTGATGATAAATTAGATGTCACATGAATGCTAAGCCATTTCACATATGACTAAAAGGAGCTCAACCAACCTGCACCCATATTTGTAAATAAAGCAAGACAGTGAGACAAACAGAACATGCAAAAACTAACCTGGCCAGAGCTAGGCAGATCACCATTGTTTCCATTCTCAAGTTGATAGGTGAAATTAAAATCATGCTGCTGCACAGGAGATCGGAAGACGGTGCATCCATCTCGAACCACTATAAATCCACTGTCCCCTAGATTGATTGCGTGGAGACCCTGATTATTAACAAAACATACAATACAAAAGTTAAAAAAATGAAAGACATTGTGGTCTTGTCTCAACAAAGTAAACAATCAACAAGATTCAGTTCGAGTCTGAGGCAAAGGTATCCGTTCATGAAGTAGACAAGTGTAGATGCATCACATGGAACCACTAAAATAACAAAAAGAAAAGAGTTAATTAATGCATGTAAATATGAAAACGGACTTGCAAGTAATATCATAAAACTCGAATAGTTGTTGATGACAAGTTTACCAACCACCTACAATCATACCTGTTGATATAAATGATCCTTGCTACAATAGTTTTTTATTAGTTACCTCTTTTTATTATTTTTCACCACATGTGGAGGAAATTTAAAGATTTAATACCTAAGTAGCTGATATCGATGATTGGATAGGATTAGGGTAGCAGAAATTTAAAAAAAATTTAACTCTAAATGGGTTGGAGAATTTTCTTTCTGTCTACCATGAAACCACAAAATGATGGTTATAGCTGAAAACCTGCTCACTAAGGCCTTTTAAAATCCATGCCAAAAGTGAGAATAGATACCTGGTCTGTGAGTGCTATGATGCATGCTGTTGAGGAACCTTTGGCTTTAGTGCTAGAGTGAGCTTTCTCCAAGACCCTAGCTGGGTCAACTGAACCCTTGGGTTCCTCTTGAATTGCACTAACTGAATTAGACATAAGCTCCCGAGAATATTGCCCAGCATCAACACCATGATCAGCCCAACCACCCACACCATCAGCTACACCAACAGCTTGTTCATCTGTACAAATAAAGTGGGCATCCTCTCCACCAGTCTCTTCTTTATCAGGATGGGGCAGGTAGCATGATCCCGAGAGTAGCTCGAGCATTTTGCCTGTTGAAATCTTTCTGCAGTCAAAATCAAGTAGCATAGGAAGATTGTAAATGCTAGTAGTCATGCTATAAAACAGAGTAATACTACCTGAACAAAGTGAACACCATTTTGACCAAGCAATATCTTTGGGATTGGTTAAACACGCATGGGAAACAAAAGGAATCATGGAACAAGGGAAGAATGTAGCTCAATTCATAAATCAAGATCTGAGACAATATATCATGAAAATAAAATAAGAGAGCAATGGAAAGATCTAAGAACATACTGTTCCGATGAAGCAGAACCTTCAAGCTGTTCCTCACGGGTAGAATTCTCATAGGTCACATCAGGGGCAGTTCCAGCTGCAAAGCATGAATGCGATGAACTTTGGTAATCTCTAAATCCTGTCTCCATGTATGGAGAAAAGTTACACCACCTCTTTGCAACATTGTAGATAAAATATCCATAAATTGGAGAATTGGTAGGTTGCTCTTGGTTTTTCAAACTCATGCTAGCCTTTCTGAAACCCTGGGAATTACTGCTTCCATAAGAGGTGCTAAGATTGTTTGTCGACAAGGGAAGATGCCCACCCCTTGAAGTCAGATTTTCGAATAAACACTCACCAAATACAGCTCTAGAGGCACTAGCAGCCATCAGCTTATTGTAAGACTTCCCACTGACCAAAATTTGATTGTTTTCACAAAGGGCACGATCTATGTGATAGCCACAAACCTGAAACGAAGGGCCTGATACAGAGGGTACAGAAAATGTACGAGAAAGTGCCCCAACAACAGATATATTCCTTCTTCGGTTAACTACCAGTGAATCAGAACTAGCAGCAACGACGGTACCAGGTCTCAAGAGTAGTTGTAAATCCGTAAGTGATGCAACACATACAGAATGAAATAACCTATAATTGCAGATTCGAAACTTCCCTTGCCCAATCAGACTCTCAAAATCTTGCAGTACACCTCCTTGTCCAACTCCTGATCTTTGAATCCCATTCTGAAACGCACTCCTCAGCCTTGAAAAATACGTAGATGGCATCTTACCCTCTTAACCAAAAAAACTTTCACTCGAACCCGTCTATTACTGCCACAACCAGATAAAAAATACAATCTCATAACTTCCAACACATCTATCTATACTTCTATTACAACAGCACAATTCCTCTTCTCTCACAAACCTGTAATGGAAAGAGAAAACAAAAACACCAGATCATACACATATTAACCAACTATTCTACAAGCAATAAAAGCTCTGCAAACCAAATCGATGAAAAAAAAAACAAAAAAATAATCATATCCAGCCCTAAATCCTAATCGGTACAAAACCATTTTAACAAACAAAATCTGAGCTCCGTTATCACCTAATTATATGATTATTACAGATTTAAATAATCAGTTAAGCCTGACGTTGGTGAGTGATTAAACACAACAGTCAAAATTCCTTTCACAAAATAAATTCCAGGAATATAAACAAGAAAACTAATTTAAACATGGAAATATAAGTGACAGGAGAAGAAAAATCGCACCTTTTATTGAAGCCCTAGAATTTGATCTTCTTTATCTTACGGGGAAAAAACAAAAGAAAGAAGAAAAAAACCGAATCTCCAAAGAAACTGGTAAATCTCCAAGGAGTTAGGTACCAGGCACGAGGCTCTCTAATTCCTTTTCTGCTTTGACTCTTCCGCTTTATTTTCACGATCACAAGAAATGAAGGCAACAAAAGAAGAGAATCAAGAAAGTTCTTTGTTGCTAACCACTTAATCGTCAAACCCTAGCAGAGAAAGCTACAACTGAAGGCTTTCTTTCATTTACTACTAGTCAGTCATTCATTAATTACCGACATGGTATTCTTAGAGAATGTAAAGAGTGTTTTTGTTTCGACAGATTTGACACTGCATGTGGCATCTTATTTACGGTTTGACCCTGTTGTTTTAGTGGATTAGTGAGGGCATTTTGGTGATTTCACTGTAACGCCCTAACTAGTAGGAGACTAAGAATAGAGACAAGATCTACTTAAGCGTGCCGGCGTGTGGCGTATGTACTTGGGATATTTTGAGTTCTTGCAGCTGACCCTAGTTGTTCTTGTTATTTATGAAGAAGCCCCGCACTTTCTCAGTATTTCCATTCTAGTGGTAAAGGGTGTTTCTTCATGTTTTTTTTATTTTATGCTAATTCTCTCGTATTAAATTTCCTACCGTGAAAATATGCGATAAAATCTTTGAAATTTAATATATTTAAGATAATATGTGTCATTTATATAATTTTGTTAATTTTTTATTGAATTAAAAATTAATTATTAGATTAAATAATGTGTCACACCAAATAAAAAGCTTATCTTATAATTTATAAATAGAAAGTTATCATTTTCTTATGTGATATTAACAAACAAAATTAAAAGAATAGAGGTCATCACTATTCAATGACTACTCATTTACACTTAGGCGTTCTGTGGATGAAGACTTGGAGGAATTATTTTTGCGTCTCTGTTGTTCATATTTCTTCCTCTCCATTTATGGTCGTGCGATTTGCTTTGTTATTTTTTTTCCCTTTTTCCTTTACAAATTGTTTAATTATTGATGTTGTATTTTGTCCATATTTTCTGTCTTGCCATTCTCTTTTTTTTTTTTTTTATTATTATTATTATCTTCTTCTTTTTGCCTGATTATTCAATGCACCTCTATTTGGCCTGACTCTCTTACGTTACAAACCCTATAGCTATCCAATTATCCACTTTCGTTTTAAACCTTTTGTACAATCTCAATCAAACAAAGACTTTAATTTTACTACAATTTTGATGAATTCAAACTCATGCTTTGAGAAATCGTAAAATCATCGCGATTGCTTCGCTTGAATTAATTGGGTCTTTCTTTTCAACTTAGCGAGATATCAATGAAATGACAAAAGAAAAATCCCCTAAATAATCTCGGACCTTACAAATCCTAACATCTTCTCAAATATCCAATTCAATTTTGGACATTTCAGCCTTATCTTCGTTTTTAACATATGTAATTTTTTTTCTCTAAATGAAATCCTCCCTAAAAATTTTGTCAAAGCTTGATGTTGGGTAGGGGTTTCGACCACTAGGGGAAGGGCATTGGGAGAAAAGTTTTAGGCCTTCGAAGGTAGTGACTTGGTTGGTGGCGGTAGGGGTGACGCTAGTAGGCATGGGACTCTTGATAGTGAGTTTGGTGGTTCGATTTTTGTATGGAGGAGGGTAGTCGAATTGTTGACGATGAGTTTTAGTGATTGAGTTTTGGTGTGGAAGAGGGTGGTGGGTGTTGCCAATGAGTTTTGGAGGCTGAAGTTTGGTGTGGAAAGGTTTAAGTTAAATGGGTAGCTAGTGGTTTGTGGAGAAGTCGGGTGTGGCTAGAGTTTTGGGGATAATTTGCAACAGCTAGAAAGAGAGACAACAATGGCAAGGACCTGGAGAAGATTGGACAGCGACAATTTCCTTTTCTTTTGCCTATCAACTCGATCATACAATAGCTATTTTCCTTGTGATGTTAGTTTAAGTGAAAATGATTCTTCTCATGTATATTAACCCTTTCTCTCACTTCCTCTCTTTGATCTTAAGTCTCATAACCTCTTGATGCACCACATGACCATAATGCTTAAAATAGTTGATCTTGGACTACCTTGATCATTTATGCTTCCTGTTAAGAAGTATATTGATGAGGTGATTAAATTAATACATGCTTGCTACCCACCATTTCTTAACTTTTGTTTTGGATATTGATTTTGTGTTGTAGATCTCTTGAAGTTCTTTTAGAGGCTATCAATTACTCAACATTTGGTATAATTTTTTTTTATCTTTTACCCTTCGTCCTTTAACTTATTTCGCTAACTCTCCACTTCTTAACTTAGTTCACTAACTCTCTATTTCTTAGATTACATGCATAACACAAATAAAAGGGGCTTCTCAATAAATTGTAATGGGTTAGGAAAAGGTATAGAATTTTCATGATATAAGAATGTAAACCAAACAAATAAATAGAGCATTTGACACATAAACTTGGATAAATAAAACCATTAGAACCCAAAACCTATAATCTTAAATTTCAAACACTTATCAACTTCCTCATAACAACGTCATACTTTCTTTGAATACAACATGGATAAACATGACACATTCTTTTTTTTCATAATTTTAGGTTTGGTAACATGATTTTTGCATAATGATGAATGATCTAATTTATGTTTTGTAGTTTTTTAGAAGTTATTTATCTTATTTTGAATATAGTTGATGGAACTTCGTGGTTAGAGGTGATTTTATTGTGATGTGTTGTTTTAATTTTTTTATTATCTCTTTTAATTATTTGATACGTTAATTTTTAATTCTTTTTTACAGATAAAGCAAATTCAGTTTTGTCTTCTTTTGAAGTTAGCACCTTCAAGTCAATCACAGAGCTTTTTTCTCGAATTAAAATAGTATTGTTTTTTGCACCAGTTAGGAATCATAAGGGCAAAATACTATTTCAAGAAAGCTGGACAGCACATTTTCTCTTTGCTGCAGATTGCACAGTTTTGGCATTGAGTGTTGAGTAAGCAGGTTAAATTTGCATAAGAAATTAATATAACATGACAAAAACACACTTTCTCTCTTTCAATTTTTTTTATAGAAAACCACAAGTTGAAACTTGAAACCTATCTGAATTCACATTTTGAGCACATTCATGACTACAGTACAAGGCATATAGGCAAAATGGACCAAAGGCAAAATATTGTGCATTTACATATTTAGTCATCCAGCAAGTTAACTTTACTAAAGAAAATGAAATTGCTTAACCTAGATCTTTTTTTCTACATTTATACCTTACGAAACACAAAAACATATTTTAACAAAATTTTTTAGTTTGTGCAACAAGTCTGCTTCAATTGCCTACTTTTGTGTGCCTTCAACTGCATAGAATTTAAGTAAATAATCGACTGTTGCTCCAACCTTTAAGTCAATTTGAAGGCTCGTTGTCACCGAGTTTGGGGAAATATTGATCATCACCAGGTTTGGGAAATATTGAAACTCTCAGCACAAAGTTTTCATTGTTGGTTAGCCCAAAGGCGCATATGTCTCTTTCTTTTAGATTATTTTCCCTGTAAAACTCGTTCAATCCTTTTGATATAGTCAAAGAATGACAATTTTAGTTCCTGATATTTCTAAAAGATATTTTTGGTTCTGGGATGATCAAGCACTGATGCTTCCATTTTTTTCCCTGCAATTTATTTTAGTTTTTTTTTTTATTATTGAATTTAATGTAAAAATTATGAAAAATCAATTGTTATTTTATTTTTCATATAGGTTGGAGATTATGAAATATATATGATATATTTTTAGAATATATATATATGAGATTATATTATTCTCATTATTTAAAATTGATCTATTTAATTGATTATTTCTTATGAAAATCCTCATCAAATTAATTTTTTTCTTTTTTATATAATTTTATTTGTTAATAAATATAATCTATTTTCTCTATATATGATTTTTTGAATAATTTTTTTAAAGAATAAATAATCAATTAAAAAATATTTTTTTATTTCCTTATTTTTTATATAATCAAAATTTATTAGAATCAATTTTATAGTTTTTTTTTATTGTAGTCTATTAACTTCAATGTATTCCTTACAATTTATTTTTTAAAAAATATTTTTTTATTTATGCTGCACATTCGATTCATCGAATACAATCATGATATATATAAAAAATTAGAATCATTGGTTTTCATAAAAGTTAACTCGTACATCTACACACATAACATCAACTATTTGCTATTATATTTTTTTAATATTCTGAAAATATTTTTTTCAAATAAAATATTTAAAATAATATTTTAGAAGATCCACCAAAAAATTTAAATACAATTTTTTATTCAAAATTATTGATTATGTTTTAAATAAAAAAAATATATAAATCAAATATATATATATTCAAAAAGTTAATCTTCTCATCAACATAATTTTTATACAAATTTTTATATTAATTTTTTATTATTAATTTTTTTTTTGATGCAATCTCATGAAAAAAAATTAAGATGTTTTTAAAAAATTTATTATTATTATTTTTGTTTAGATTATTATAGGTTTTTATTTAAGAATGAATGCATAAGAAATAGCAAATTATATTTTTTTACCTAAAAAATTTATTAAAAACATATAAATAAATAAATTAAATATAAAATTTTGATTAAAAATTATAAAATTAATTTTAGAATATTAAAAAAAAATTAATAGAAAATGGTTTATGTTATGTGTTTAGATGCACATTTAATTTTCAATAAAACCAATGATCTCATTATATATATATATATTATGACCATACTCGATGGGTCGAGTGCGCAACATAAATCAAAAAATATTTTTTAAAAAAACTTAAATTTTAAGGGTAACAAAAAATTTACAAAATTAATTTTGATATACTTTGATTATTTAAAAAATAAGCAAATAAAACATGTGAATTCTAAATTTTAATTGATTATTTATTTAAAAAAAACTTATGCAAAAATTTGTACATAGAGAAAATAAATCATATTTATTAAAAAATAAAATTATATAAAAAAAAGAATGAAAAAATATTTGATAAGAATTTCTATTAGAAACAACAAATTGAAGAGATCAATTTTAAACAATAATTATTATGTTTTTTTAACTATAAAATTTATGACAAACATAAAGAAAGATAAATTACACACAAAAATTTGATTAAAAATTATGAACCTAAATGATTTTTTTATCCTTGATCTTTAATCTTATATATTCTAGTTTATCAATAATATATAATATGATACATGCTATCAAATTAAAATAAATATATTTTATTCGAAAGGCGTTACAATTTGTATCATCAATGGATCTCATGATTAACAGCAAAATTGAATGTGATAAAAATACCATAGTACAAGAATAAAAGAAAATACAATTGAAACATTTGTTGCATAATTGAGGAAATAAAGAAGAAGGCAAAAAGGCAACAAAAATCTAGTTAAAAGTTGAATTCAATTCTAGGAAGTCCAAATATAAGAACGTTTGGCACTTCGCGCATGGAACTTCATTTATTACAAACACCGCAGACAACATTAGGGCAATTCATATAGCATAGATAACTTGATTTGTTCTTATGAATTTTCAATGGATTTTTATATTTTTAATTATATTTATTATATTGTTTAATATTATTTTAGTTTTTAATCTATCCTTTTATCAATTTTTCTGACTATATATATATATACACACTAAAATGCTCTTTGGATGAAATGCAAAAAAAAAAAAAAAAAAACAAAAAATCTAAAGAGTTCAAAAATGCAACATGCAAATAATGTGAATTCATTTTTTTTTTCATTTTAATCAAGAGTATTTCAATAAAAAAATTGCACATGATTGAAAAAATTAATCAAAATGACAGATTAAAGATTAAAACTAACTAACTTAATGCATCAAAAATTACGAACTTGATACTATCTCATCATATTATCACAATGTTTTCAATTTTTGACGAGAAAAGTCATGAACTAAATTTTTAATAACCATATTAACAAAATTGAATTTTTTTTAATTTAAATTCTATTTTAAGTTGACATTGAATATGATGAAACATAACAGCATAGCTAATTTGTCACATAGTATCCAAGTAATCTATTAACTACCTAATAATGAACTATATATCATTCATTCCCTCTCTAACCTAATTAAAAAAAAATCCCTAAACCCAATCAAAAAAACCCTATGCACTTCTATATCGAATTCATTTCCCCCTGCTCCTTTTTCTTCCCAGCTCTCCAACATCGTCATGGTACTAGCCGCCATTTTTGGAACCCATCCCTTGCAAATTGAAAGAATTACTATGTCAAAAAGGATACATACATACATATACACACACACACATACATACATACATACATACATACATACATACATATATATATATATATATATATATTTTTTCGTTTCCATATACCAAGAAGAGTGTCCTGAACATTCAGTTTAATAGTTGATGAAAACAATAAATTTATTATCTTGTAGCAGAATACCTTTTGCTTCTGACAGTAGTAGAGAGGGAAATGGGTCCCCTTGGCTTGCTCCATGTTTTTGGTGATCCTCCTGAGAACAATCCATTTCTCACCTCTGGCCTCGGTAAGTCCTTCTGATCCCAAGAGCTGTTAGACAAAGAGTCAATATCAAGCCTCTCAATGACCCACCAGTACCCATTAGGACTTCCTTAATCGTGCCAGGGTCTAAAATTCCCAACCTGGGCTTGGATACACAAGTATGTCTTGCCACGAGTTCTTGACCATGTACTATGAGCAGGAATTGCTCTGGGACGGATGTCGTGGTTATGTACCTTTGCTGCCCTCGCTTCCGATTTCCTACAGCGCATGTCTGATGAATTCCCGATGATGGGAAGGTAGAAAGGCCCCTCTACACCTTGTTTTCGGAAGTGGAGTTGTGTTTTTGGAGGGAACCCATAATATTGAGTGTACAAATTTTAAGACAAACGCTAGTGTGAAAACAACTAAGATTGTAACAAATACAAATACATGGTATTGGTAGGATATTAAGAGAACGGCAACCAATGAACCTCTTATTGATCAGATCTAAAGAGGTTCATGCAATTTATCCGAGAAGGTAATTACTGGCGGCGATTGTTCCTCTGGTCCAGCTTTTTGACCTATGCGTACGTGGTCGTGAAGCAAAAATTTTGACTCTCTGCTCATCTTCCAAACCAGACTTCAGAAAAAAACAATCGGTTGGTTGATGTTAGTGGCATTTGTTTAATTAGATAATTTTGTGATGACATACAATAACATATACACCAGTGTTTGAAAAATGAAGCTCGAGTGATGCTGATAGCATTTCTTGGTCAGCTTACATTCGCATTATTGGACCAATGTTAGAGAACTATTGGACCCGATAGGATGGGCATTTAAGGATGCATATGATAGGGGTGCGGTCTCTGTTGATGACATTTTGTAGGGAGAAATTTTGGCCTCTTTAATAAGTTCATCAAGTACATTAAAGTCTCTCTTCAAAGTGAGGTAATCAAGAGTTCGATTATATAATTCACTTTCACCATTTTCATTCTCACGTACAAGAACGGAGCTAGAAAATTTACTTTAGGAAGGCCAATCAATATATTGAGATCAAACAATTATTCAAGTATACCAAAATGTGGATTCAAAAGTTATATATTAACGATTAAGTTAAAAGTTTATTTATTATTATTATTATATGGATCATTATGCATAAAAAAGTAAATTGAGAAGAATTTTTTTGAACTTTGGAGAAGCTGCGTCTCAGCTTGCACCCCAAGTTCCTCCCGAACTATTTAGAGAATGAAATCCAATCACCTAACGTATATAGGATTGGAAAAACAACTCTGTCTGCTGCAGCAAAACTAATTGGCTCTTAACGCATTTTCAGTTCATGTGAAAGTAAATTCCACATCAACAGGCACATGATACTACTAAGATTTCATTTCCAGCAAATAAAACAAGCATACCATACAAAATATTTTCTACCTGCAAACGTCCTATATGGTCCCATATATAGTGCCTTATGTGGAAACACACCAAACATAACTCTTTCAATTCCAAATTTACAGTAAGGAAAGCACAAGACCAAATATTAAACTTGCATACCACAATAAAAATGAGCCACGGGCTTAACACATTTTCAATTTGAAATCTTGCGAAAGAGGATCTGTGCACCGTATTGAGGCTGCATGCTTATAAACAGGTTTGGAGCATGAACATAAGTGGGAGACACAGCCAAAGAGTACTGTCTGATTATCATGGCTAGGGCAATCTTTGCCTCCATAATTGCTAAACTTTGACCAACACAAATTCTAGGGCCCATCGCAAATGGAAAAAACGAGGCCAAGTGCTTTCGAGACTCGTTGAATCTCAAAGGATTGAACTCATTAGCATCTTTTCCCCATATATCAGTGTCATGCTGGACAGCAGGCAAAGGCAAATAGAGTTGTGTATCAGGAGGAATGTCGATGGTCCCCAACCTCACCTTCTTAGATGTTTGCCGCATCAACATCAGAACTGGAGGGTAAAGCCGCAGCGTTTCGTTGAGTATCAAATTCAACTACAGGAAAAAAATACCAAGAGCAGCAAATAAATGTCAATTATATATTGCTAATCTTTAAATAAACATGAATCCTTGATAACTTTTGTATTGATGACCAAAGAGCTTGTGGTCCAATGATAATGGTCTCTTACAATAGGAGGTCATTGGTTCAAATCTTAACAGAGTAGTTCTGCTAAGAACCTAAGAGGTATGAGTTAAAGAAAAAAAAAACTTTTGTATTGATGTCATGAGATAGACATTACAAACTTTTTCCTTATGTTTCATATCCTTCATATCCTTCGATTTCATCTTTTCATTGAAAAGTTGTAGCTCCTTGTCTTGGAGCTATTTTACCATATCCCGAATTCAATGATTTCAATATATCCCCTGCAATAGTTCGTCTTGGACCAAATCTATAACTAACCTTATTTTTAGGCAGCTAAATGAATCATTCAACTAAGAGGGTAGCCTGAAGATAATTAAAAAGTTCACAAATCAGAGTTTCTTTTCGTTTGGGAAACCAGATTGTTAAAAGGGAGTTCACATGTAGTTCTAAAGTTTCCCCTTGTACAGGAGAGCAATAATGAAACTGCATTCCTGTTAAGCACCAGGATCCTTTCTGACGCAATATTTTAAACTAGGAATATAAGCAAGGAATCAAACTTACAATCTTAAGGTCATTTAACTTCTCTGCAACTGGAAGTTCCTTCCCTCCATACACGCAAAACACTTCTTCCCGTGCCTTGGTTTGCCATTCATGATGGAATGCTAAAAGGAGAAGTGCCCATGTCACAAGATCGGCAGTAGTTTCCTTTCCTGCAAAGTAGAATGTTTTGCATTCATTTACAATGTCCTCAACCTCCAGCTTTTCTTCCTTGCCATCTTGGTTTTTATATGAAGACATCAGTAAACTAAGTAGATTTTTTGAATTTTCTTTCACACTGCTATTAGTCTTGATCAGATTCTTTAATGCTTCACGAGTTTCCTTCTCTATTCTCCACCTCTCTCTGTTCTTTTTGGTTGGCAAAAACCTGCTTACAGATAGATAAAACCGAAACTATAAATTACGAATCCACTTGGCAAAGAAAAATGAAAAATGCGCAATAAGCAAACATTAACACTTCGGAAACCTATTTTTCTTTTCTTTGCCGTCTTCATTCTCGTCCATTTGAGTTCAATGACAACAGAACGCTATAACAAAATTCCAAGTCACAAAGAATTATCATCCCACACGACAGCTGCAATTTGCCAGGGACACAACTCCATTTTCCTTTTTGATGAAATTATAGACGCCAGATATAAACTACCATAAAAGCTGCATTTGCCAAACTATTCACTACGAGTTATAGTTGACATCTTTAAATGTCATATACCCATCCACCTTTAAACATCAAAATGCATCAGTAATTAATCAATGTTCTTGTCTTCGTCTTCTTACATTACTTTCATAACTTGAATAATATTCTATGCCGAGTCTAACATACATACATCAGTTGAATCAAATTCAACTACGTACAAAAACATGGAAAGATGATCTAAGCAAATGACTTTTGACCGACCAAAAAGAAAATTAATCACCTGAACCCCGGAATATAAGCATTTCCTAAAGCCTGGAAGGCAAGGTACTTTTGTTGTTCCTGTAATGCAAATATACGCCGCCCTTCTTCATAGCTGCTTCCAAAAGCGGTTTTGGATATAACGTCTGCTGAGAGGTCCTGAAGATCATCCATCACATCCATCTCAAACTCATCTCTCCCTCCTCTTATTTCCTCCCATTTTGTTAGCATCTTCGCGGTACTTGCAACAATTCCTGGCACCCAACACTATGGGAAATGTTTTATTTTTAACCATCAACTCCAATCAATTAATAGAGACATATACGTTTACATGTGTCCAAATGAACCTAGCTATACTTTCACAAAAATAATGTTACATATGCTTAAATTTTTATTAGGATTTTTTTTTCTGTTAAATGATCGTACGGTAGCTTGTGATTCGTGTGTTATAATTAGTCATTTCAATCCACAATTATAACTATAAAATAAGATTAACATTTTTTTTATATAAATATCCACCATAAAAGCTTGATTTATTTGAGCAGAGCTTCACCTTCACTCGCTCAATCATAAAAGCCTGGTTTGCGATCCTCCTATGAAGTGCCCACTCCGCACCGCTGAGCCCAATAAGTCCCTGTCCAAAGAGCAGCTTAGCCAGAGGGTTATTTCGTGCTTTCTCAAACAACCCACCATCCGTGTTCATAAGAACCTCTTTAATCATATCAGGGTCTGATATGGCCAACGTGGGCTTGGTTCCAAACCAATAGAGGAACGTCTTCCCGTACTTCTGCGACCACTCATAGTAAAATGGGGCCACTCGAGGGACCACATCGTGGTTGAAAGACATTGGCTTTGACCGTGCTTCGCTAAATAGACGACTAAACTCAGGTGCGTTCCCGAAGAGTGGACGGTAGTTGGGGCCACTTATGCCTTGCTTTCTGAAATGGACCTGGATTCTCCATGGAACCAGTATCACCGAGTGTATAAATTTCAAGATGCAGGCGAGTAGTAGTAACACAAGCAGAAGAAAAGGAAGATGCATTATCAAATCTCAAATCTGGGCGTGTTAGAGAGGAAGTGGTGTTGTTCAAGGACTGGGTTATCAGATAATACTTAAGCCCGGGATTCAGGAATTGCTCTGCTCTGGTCTCCACCTCCCATTATATTTTGAAGGAATAAAGGCTATTCGTATTTTATTCATTAGTCGGTAAAAACAATGAGGTGGATGATGGGGGCAAAGAGGGACTCTCTCGTCACGTTCACTGCAAATATGATTATCTGCTCAATCATTATTTTCTTCTTTGTACTATTGCTACTACAGCACTCAACTTTATTTAATTTGATTGTGGAGTATGGGTGCAATCATTTTACTTTCCTTTTTGACGAATGAAAACTCATATTATTGTATATTAAACTATTTATTTGTAAATTAAAGTCATTGAAACTTGAATGTATTTCTTTCAAGGAAGCTATTGAAATAAAACTATTACATTATACTTACGTGTGGGCATAACGTGTCTTCTTTGGAATGCAACCCAAAAGTTGCCCAACATATCTTATCTGCTTGATGATGGTGGTAATTAAATAATAATAATGATCGAATATATTATTCATATTTGGTTGTGTGAATAAAAAATAAAGTAGGTGAAATCATATATTGTGCCAATTACAATTACATCCCCAACTAACCTAGCTGAATCAATTCGCTCTCTGGAAAACAAATAGGAGAATTCCTAGCAACCACAACCGAGCAGTTATTGTATATCTGCACATTTCTTGTTTCTTGAAGAAAAGAATGGATAAAAAATATACAAGTTCGGTACAGCTGATGGAAGAAGGAGCAATGATGCTGTTTGAAGTCTTGCACCCAGCACCTGTGGAGATAACAGAGGAGGAGGAGGGAAAAAAATCGTCTCAAATAATTGTCAATTTTTTTATTTATATATATATATAAATATTTGTCTAAGTCAAAATTTTAAGTCATATATTTTTTAAAAGTATTTTTAATTAAATTTTATTGTGTTAAAGTTTATTCAAATACAATTATACTAAAAAAATATTTTTAGTGATATGCATAATAATTAATAATTTTTTTCATTTTTTTTAGAAGTGAAAGATGACGATTTTTTTTAAAAACAAAGCGAGTAAAACAAATTAAAATAGGCTTCACTTCAACCCGACTAGAGAGCCCACTAAATAAAAAGCTCAAAAACTCCTAATAGAAAAAACACTAAATAGCGAAATAATAGAATATAAGGTTGAAGTAAATTTAATTTGTGAAGATAAAACGTGAGATCGGTTTTGACTTTGAATTGGTAGAAAAGTTGAATAAAGTAACATTTGCTTTCTTTTACTCGTCATTAATATCGTCATCGTTTATTATTATTATTATTATTATTTTCTCTCTGAGGAATCTCGACTTGAATTTTTCAATTACAAAGTGCATAGACCCAGCAAAATATAATTGATTTTGAATTAAGAACTAAAATTCAAATTGATGGACAACAAAGACAGGAAGGAAAATATTGAAAATTTGACGAAGAATTTAAACCAACATGAGGCAAGTTTGCATTCAAATTCTTTGGAATTTGAGCCACTCTTATTAATGGGTTGGAATGCTTTATTTACTTCTAGCAAGTAACCGAACATACAATATGACCACCGTCCATGCTAACCACTCTCAAGCTTAGCCGCAGGGCCACATATATGGAGACTGAAGAGATCATGACAACATTTCTTTCTTGAAGACTTGACATTTCTATAACAAAAATTGGAGAAAAAGTTTACATATTTAGAGCCAGTAATTGTTGTTTGTCAAGCATATCGGAATTGAACTGCTATTGTCAAGAACAATCAACAAATCATGTATATGTCAATAAACGGTAATTTAATTGATGTTAGTGTTTTTTCTCCTTATAAAAAATTTTTGGATTCAAATCTTTCTTATATATAAACAATTAATTATAGCCATGTATTTCTTTGGTTAGATCATTCTAGAGTTTGATTCAGTTATAGCAACAGGTGCTATTACTAGCTCAATTGTTTCTTCTTTTGCTTCCCAAAATCTTTGAGCTTTTGCAAAGTGATTGGGCGGGACAAAGTTCGTCACATTTATTGTGAAGACAATCTATGTGCAGATTCATTAGTTTATTTGTTGGTTAGGGATTCACTCTCTTGACAATGATCCTGTATGACTAGCTGATCTCTGTACCAGGAAAGGATTGTGGTAGCCTTATCTTGTTTAAATCGTTTGTAGTCCTTTCACTTTTGGGGGCATTTGCACCCCGTTGTCCATGATCCAATAATATTAATAATAAAAAAGAAAAAAAAACTTTCATAATTAAGGTGCCTTCTGTGCAACAAAATAACAAATATAAGGCCTTTTAATTCCATTAAAATCGAACAAAAGCACGCCGAATATAAAATATTTTACAGAAGTCAAAAACTACTGAACAAAAGTACAAACTATTACGAAATGGCTTGCACACAGGAAGTTTAGAAGAGCGACAAGACAATAACATGCAAAGTAACTTCTGAGGTACCACATAATTCACTTATTTAAGGTTTGGATCAAATTTGTTCCATGTGCAAATACTCCTGACTTGGGCCTTCTCCAGTTCAGCATAGGATTCACCACAACAGAATAGAAATTTCAGTATTTTACAAACAAAAGACACCATACAAAGCTCCTTTCAATTTCAAAGCCTGCGAAAGAGGATCTGAGCACCATATTGAGGTTGTGTGCTCAGCAAGAGGCTTGGTGCATGAACATAGGTAGGCGACACAACAAAAGAGTAATTCCTCAATATCATGCCCAGGACCATTTTTACCTCCATGACTGCTAAATTTTTACCAACACACATTCTAGGACCGATCCCGAATGGAAAAAATGAAGCCAGGTGATTTCTCGGCTCATTGAATCTTAGGGGATTGAACTCATTAGCATCGTTTCCCCATATATCAGGATCATGATGAACAGAAGGCAAGGCTAAATAGAAATGTGTGCCAGCTGGAACGTCGAGAGTTCCCAATTTGACATTTTTAGAAGTCTGCCTCGGCAACATCACTACTGGAGGATAAAGTCGCTGTGTTTCACAGATAATCGAGTTCACCTATAAGAAAAAACCAAGAGATAAATGCGATATTATAAAAACAGAGTCGTTAAAAAGCAAATTTATAAATGGAGTTATTTATAGTATAGTTCTAAAATTTTGCAATGATGTAAAGCAGATTAGTGTGATCGTATCCTTTAAATACTTACCCTTTTTGTATCCACAATATGTTAAAGCTAGCAAGTAAGTAAGAACCAAACTTACAATCTTAAGGTCATTTAACTTCTCTGCAGCTATAGGTTCATTCTCTCCATAGATGGAAAACACTTCTTCTCTTGCCTTGTTTTGCCATTCTTGATGCAAAGCTAAAAGGAGAAGTGCCCAAGTCAAAAGATCGGCAGTAGATTCCTTTCCTGAGAAGTAGAAGGTCTTGCATTCATTTATAATCTCCTCAATCCCTAGTTTCTCTTCCTCGCCTTCTTGATTTTTATAGGAAGACATCAATAAACTGAGTAGGTTCCTTGAATTCTCTCTTTCACTGTTGTTAGTTTTGATCAAATACCGTATTGCTTCACGAGTTTCCTTGTCGAATTTCCACCTCTGCCTGTTTTTCTTGGTGGGCAAAAACCTGCATATAGATGGAGCCAAAAATTAAACCACAAAAGCCACTCGGCAAAAGAAGTATCCCAAAATGCGGGAACTCTCGATATAATTAAATTAAATGACTTTCAACTGATCAGAAAGAAAACATTTACCTGAACCCTGGAATATAGACATTTCCAAAAGCCTGGTAGGCGAGGAACTTATGTTGATCTTGTAATGAAAATATACGTTTCCCTTCTTCATAATTGCTTCCAAAAGCCGTTTTGGCTATAACGTCTGATGTGAAGTTCTGAAGCTCTTTATGTACATCAATCTCAAACTCATCTCTCCCTCCTCTTATTTCCTCCCACTTCATTAGCATCTTGGTAATGCTTTCCACTATTTCTGGCACCCAACACTGTCAAAAATTCAAAATTAAAGATTTTTCAATAGGGAGATTTTTTTAGCTATACGTCCAATTATATGTGAAATTTTCGTCCAAGTTGCAATTAACAGAAGATCATTTTGCAAAATATATAGCCTAAGTTCCACGTCTAGGATTTAGCTAGCTGTCACTACTCACTAGTGATCATTAGATATTAAATTACCGGAGAAAAATGTAATTAAAAACTCAATTATTCGCATGTATTATACAAACAGGAACATTAAGAGAACTTGTTCACAAAAATGATCAAACATTTATGAGAATTGTAGTTCTTTAGTCTTCATATGAGAAATTGTGTGCAATTGGGTGTGTTATAGATAACAAAAATAATAATAAAAGGCTTTATATATATATATATATATAGAGTAAGAACTTTCTATAAGTTGGGTAGTGGGATTTTTACCACTATATTAGAGCCAATTCAATATTTCTGAACAGGAAAAACCTAATTCAGTTTGACTTACAAAATCAACAGGAATATGTTTACAGTTACATCTTGCTTACATGTATCTCCAATAGAATTTTTTTCTTAAGAATACCCTTGTACCTCCAAATTTTCAGTCCGGCTGTTAGGTGCCTATTATCTATAGGAACCTGGGCCTCGGGCGACTATTTGTAGCCGAAAAACTAAAAACATGGGTGAATATAAATTGACCCATTTGGTCTTATTCGTTTATTTTAAACAATAAAATTTAAAATAATAGGGTGCAATTTTAATATATGTACTAAAAATGATAAAAAAAAACTAACTACTTGTCAATTTTTTTCTAACTTAATGGATCATTTTGGTGACAAAGTAATTATGAGATTGAAAACATAACTATAATCATCGTGTTTCTGCATTAACATAATAGTAACACGTGAGAATCGGAGATCCAACATAATCAATACCCCCATAAAGTTCAAGCTGGGCTTGAACCATAAAAAGACGCTGTCATGTTCAGAAAGACTAAAAAGGCTCACCTTAACCCGCTCAATCGTAAACGCCTGGTTTGCGATCCTCCTATGAAGAGCCCACTCCTCACCATCCAGGCCATTAAGTCCCTGTCCAAAGAGCAGCTTAGCTATAGGGTTGTTTTGCGCCTTCTGAAACGACCCATCACCCGTATTCATGAGAACCTCCTTAATCATATCAGGATCAGATATAGCCAACGTTGGCTTGGTTCCGAACCAATAGAGGAACGTCTTCCCATACTTGCGCGACCACTCATAGTAAAATGGGGCCACTCGGCGGACGATGTCGTGGTTAAAAGGCATTGGCTTTGATCGTACTTCACTAAACAGACGGCGGTACTCAGGTGTGTTTCCGAAGATCGGACGGTAGTTAGGGCCACTTATGCCTTGCTTTCTGAAGTTGACTTGTATTCTCCATGGCATCCATATCACTGAGTGCATGAATTTCAAGATGCAGATGATGAATAACACAGGTAGAAAAAGAAGAAGAAGCATTGCTAAATCTTTTTGTGATTTTGTGATGGCGAGAGGAAGAGAGAGGAGGTAGCTAGTTTTTAAGGTGATGTGAATAATATTCCTGGAACTTCATCCACTCAAGGAAGGGGTAAATATTGAGCTCGCTTTCTTTTTTTATATATCTGCTTGAAAATTTTTACCAGGGGAATTCATTGTTTATAAGATTTTTTATTGTTTATTATCTGCGTCCAGAGGCAAATCCAAAGGCAATAATTTTTGGACAAAACCATACACAAATACCTAACACGAATTGCCTTGTCAGATCTCCAAAAGATACAAATAAAGGAAGCTAATGCCGTGGCGCCATTGATAAGGGAGATATTAATATTAATAGGGATTCAGGTCCACCGTAAACATGATTGTCGCGCGCTGAAATCATTTTTTCCTTTTTCCTTTAGGTGGAACAGACATTCGACTTTATTTATTTATTTCATCATTGTGAGTAGAATGTGGAGTGCAATCATGCATATATCTGTTCCTTTTTTCAATGCAATACATATTGCTCAACTTATCCAATCAATGATGATGTTGGTATCCTTTAGTGCAATGTGATTTAGTCTCCTTTTGATTTTGTTGTTGTGCTTATAATTTAGTTTAATAATTAGTTTTTTTTACCCACGTTATGCTACGGATTTGATAAAATATATAAAATCGTTTAGAAAAAATATTTCAGTTTGATAGTTTATTTTATGATGTGAATGTATAAAAATATATAAAATTAAAGGTGAAAAAAATATAAGTTTTTAATCAAAAATTTTGTATTTAACTATTTCTTATTTGTATTTTTCATAATCTTTCCTTTAGAAAAAAGGCTTTATCCTTGTTAATCTATGGATTATTAACTAAAAAAAATTAAATAAAATTTTATAAAAAAAAATTAGTATTTCATAAGATTATGTAGAAAAACATAAATAACAATTATTAAAAGCTTACATAGAATTGAACAAATTATTTATTTTATTTAATTTTGATGAGAATATCGGTTTTTGAAAAAATATGAATTTAATTTTTATATATTTATTTACAAAATAATGAATAATATTAAAATAAAAAACTATATTAATTTGAATCATTGAGTGGTTAAGCTAAAACATAATTTTAATTATTTAATTTAAAATAAGTTAATTTTAAAATATTCAAAATAAAATAAATAAATAGTAAATGCTTAGTGTAGTAGTAATTGCATAATTAATTTTAAAAAAAACGATTCAATATTTTTTTTATACATTATAACTATACTAAGTGAGTTCAATGTTTTCAATCTAAAACAAAAAATACTATAAAAAAAAATTTAACTTGCAAGGAATCTATTGACTAAATTTGAAGTTAATAAACTAAAATAAAAATTATTACAAATTTGATTTCGATTAATTTTGATTATATAAAGAAGAAAAAAATTAATAAAATATGTGAATTCTTTTTTTTTCTCCTTCTTAATTTTTTTTTTTATTTCTATGCTATGCATGACTAGTCCTTAAATACAAGCTTCACGCATAGAGCAACCATCTTCTTTTTATTTTTCACATTTGACTTTCAACTATGAATTAATTAATTTGAGTGTTTTTTTCTAAAAAATATTATTTAAAATACATTTTTAATCAAAAATATATTTTAGACAAATTATATATATTAATCATGTCACTGTAATTTAAAAGTTATCTAAATATATTTTTTCAAAAAAAAAATAATCATGTTCTAAAATTTTTTTTCAAAATCCATACATATAGAAAAATAAATCAAAACCGTCAATAAATATAATTTAAAAAAAATAAAAAGTTGAAGTAGTAAATTTTAAATAATAAAAATAATTAACAAAAAATACTAAAATAAAATGGGACCAAATTACAATATAATCAAAGTTTGAAATTGAAAAAAAAAGAAGAGGATTTAAAAAAAATGATAAATTAATATAGTAAATTTTAAATAATATAAAAAACTGAGAAAAATTATTTGAAATACACTTTTTATCTAAAAATGTATTTTAGATAAATTATATATATTAATCATGCTAGTATAATTTAGAAATTATCTAAATCTATTTTTCAAAAGAAAAAATAACCTTGTTCTAAAAATTTGTTCCAAACTCCATATATATAAAAAAATAAATCAAAACTATCAGTCAATATAATTTTAAATTAATTGGATGAGAATTTTAAAAAAAATGACCAATTAAAGTTGTAAATTTTAAATAATAAAAATAATTAATAAAAAAATTAAAAAAGGGGACCAAATCACAATATAATTAAAGTTTAAAATTGAAAAACAAAAAAGAGCATTGAAAAAAATGAAAAATGAAAATAGGAATTTTTAAATAATTAAAAAATTAAAGTTTGAGATTGAAAAAAAAAGAAGAGAATTTAAAAAAAAATGATAGATTAAAGTAGTAAATTTTAAGTAATAAAAATAATTAACAAAAAGCACTAAAACAAAATGGAATCAAATCACAATATAATTAAAATTTGAAATTAAAAAAAAATATAGAAAAATTGAGGATCAAAATGTTACAAAAAGACATGAATAGTGAAAGGAATAGTGATTTGTAAGTGTGTGAACGGTGTTTTGAATAGTGAATAATGATTTTACTTTAGTTTTATTGATAATTTTTTGTTGAACTTTTGAAAATAGAAATGTTGGATGAAAAGCTTAATTTTAGAAAAAAACAAATATATTATCTAAAAAAAATAAGTAAAGTTTATAAAACAAGTGTGTCATGTCATGCTTATCTTATTAATTTTAATAAATATACTAGAGCAAAATAGATATTTACTATAGTAAGCCCTTATTTTGGATTTTAGTGATTATTTATTTATTTATTTTAGTCCTTGTCTTGTAATTTTTTTTTTATTTTAGTCATTAAAGTTTTATCATAGTTGATTTTTGTCTTTGCAATGAAAATTTTTTTTGGCTTTTAGTGAAATATTTTATTTTTTTTTGGTCTCTATTTTGTGATTTTTTTTTTTTTACTTTGGTCATTAAATTTTTTATCATGTTTGATTTTTATCCTTACTACACTAAAAATAAATACATTTTCACTACTTTAAACCTTTTTTTAGCTTTTAGTAAAACTTATCTTTCTGTTTTCATGTTTTGTAATTTATTTTTTTTATTTTAGTGATTGCAATTTTATCATGTTTGAATTTTTGTTTTTGCCTTACGCATGATGAGTTTTTTTAGTCTTATAGTTCATAATTTTTTTTTGCTTTTAGTGAAAGTTTTTTCTTTATTTTGATAATTAAAGTTTTGTTGTATGTAATTATTATCCCTATCTTTTGCCAATTAGGTTTTGAAAGTATTTCAATTTCATTCAAATTTAATAAAGTTTTTGTTGTCATTTTGTTTTATGTGGTCTCTCCATCTCATTAGCAAACTCCAAATGATGAAAAACATATAGCGAAAATTACTCATTTGAAATTTTAAAAATTACCATATCATTATTTTAATTACTAGTTAGTATATATATATATATATATATATATATATATATATATATATATATATCTAATAAAATACATGTTTGTATCAAACAATATTTAATTAGCAACATTCTATTACTTAGTTTTTTCTTTTAGCTAACCTCTCAACAACACACAAGATACATGCTTTTAAATAATTGTTTTGAACTTATTATTTTATATGAATGAACATATAAAAATATTGTGTGGCTCGTCTTGCAGCAACGTATTGGATATATGTTAGTAATAAACTAAAAGAATTGCTTTATTTATAAGCATGTCAAGAGCAAACCTTATGTTAAGTTTTTTTTCTAAAGGAAGTTAATTAGAGATTTTTAAACGGAAAAAATAGGAATAATTTGAATTATAAATACATTCATAATAAGGTTACGTTTAAGTAATCCACTCCAATACATTTGATGCTAATTAACACCCACCAATTATGTTAGATGCAATTGATAATAGGTTGTAATTTGTTGCCACTAAATAATTCATGGTCAATTAAAAAAGAAAGAGTAAACTATTAGTTTGTGTTTTTCAGACGTATAATTAGTTATTTCCTTTAGTTTTAAAAAATCTAAATTAAATTCCTGTATTTTTAAATAGGTTGATAACTCACTACTTCAATTAGTTAATCCTTACCATTTAATTGCATTTTTTTTCTAAAATATGTTTATTTTCTAGTCAAATTTTCTACTTTGACCAATTACAAACAAAACCAAAAAGATATTTTGGAGTTTGAAAAAAGAAGAAGAGATAAATAGTTCAATTTATCTTTATACAATAGATTGAATATTCAACATGTTCTCTTGGATCTAGGATATTGTTGAAAAGTATTTAATTATCAAATTAGTCATTTTGACTACTTTTTTTTTTTTTTTTTTTTAATTAGAAGCTCATGTGTGTTTATTTTCAAAATGCATCTGACAGAAATTCATAAAAAAAGACAAGTTTTTAATATGTTCCTATATTTCTAATTGTATCTACTATTTTATTGTATAATATCTAGTTCTTCAATACATATTTCAATCAAGTTTTTTAACCAAATTGACGAAATATATTTTTCATTCTAAAATTTTCCTTAACTATACAAGCATATACTTTTAATTTTTGAAAAAAAAATTAAAATTTTTATTTTTAAAAAAAATTTAAAGGTTTAGTAATTTGAAATTAACTTCTTATTTCTTAAAATATTTTGAATAATTTTGATTTTTTTTAATTATATCCTTGCAAAGCTCAAGGATATTTCAAAGTAAAAAACAAATTATGTCAATTTGAATAAAAAAATATATTTTTAAAAAATAAAATTATATGCTTGTATAGTTATATTGACATAATTATGTCCTTCGGTCAAGTTTTTCTATGCAAATTGAAAAAATTATTTTTTTTTCATTCTAAAATTGTTATTCAGTTATACAAGCATATAATTTTAATTTTTTGAGATAAAATTAAAATTTTTATTTTTAAAAAATTTTAAGGTTTTGGTAATTTTAAAACTTCTTATTTCTTAAAATATTATCTTAAACTTTGAATTTTTTTATTATAACTTTATATAACTCAAGGATAATTTTAAAATAAAAAAAATAGTTTTATCTATTTGAATGGAACAACTTGGATTTGTAAAATTGGATATAAGAACATATATTACACGCTTGTCTTTTTTCTTTTTTTCTTTTTTATGAATTTCAGTCGAGTATTTTGAAAATAAAATTTGATCATGTGATCTACACGTGATCTTCTGATTAAAAAAATGGTCATAAGAACTAATTGAATAATTAAATATTATTCAAAGATATAATGAATCCAATTAAAAATATAAAAACATATTAAAGACTCAATCTATCATACAGGTACATTTATTTGAAATAAAAAAAAATCCCCACAGTCAACTTAAAAAACGGGATTAACTTGTAACAAAAAGCAGTGAGGCGGGAATAGAGAATTCTGCTTCAGCTAAACCAAATCGTCAAAGACATTTGGCATGAATAGAGAATTCAATGCATGATGACATGAAACGAGGGAAATAAGCATCAAAAACACTAGGGCACCGTCCCCCAAAGTCCTAATTGAGGAAGAGAGCAAAGAACCTACAACACTTGTATTGGCAAATTCTTCTTTTTATTTCCAGCAAATAAACCAAACATATATACCACACTGGTGCAATCTACATATACATATTGTGCCTTCTCGGCGGAGATACCAAATATAACATTCTTCAGTTCTATCAAATATCAAATTAAAGGAGCACCAAACAGCACATTTACTGCCAAAGCACTTTATCATCTGCAGTTCCATGGCTATAGAAATTAAATTCTAATACTTAGATGAATAAATACATCAGATCATATAATGCTCTCAAATTTTTAACTTGCAATCCGACGGAGGAGGAGTTGCGCACCATACTGAGGCTGCATGCTTATCAAGAGTCTTGGAGCATGAAGGTAGGTGGGGGACACTACAAAAGAGTAATGCCTTATTATCGTGGCCAGGGCAACTTTTGCTTCCATAATTGCTAGATTTTTTCCAACACAGATTCTAGGACCTAAACCAAATGGAAAAAATGAAGCCAAGTGACTTCTAGGCTCGTTGAATCTTAGCGGATTGAACTCATTAGCATCTTTTCCCCATATATCAGTGTCATGATGAATAGAAGGCAGGGCCAGAAAAAATTGTGTGCCGGCAGGAACATCGAGGGCTCTCAACTTTACCTTTTTGGTTGTTTGCCTCATCAACATCACAGCTGGAGGGTAAAGCCGAAGTGTTTCATGGATTATCAAGTTCACCTATGAGAAAATATCGAGAATAACAAATTAACATGCAAAAGTTAGGATTTTCACTTTAGGATATATATATATATATATATATATATATATGCCCCGCGTAAAACATATCAGAAAAAAAAAACCAATTATAATTCTACTATATTCATATGGGAATTAAAGATACTAGTATGAGCTTTTCCTTGGGTCGACCATATTTTCTTCTTCCTTGTTTTCAAGTTTAGTTTTTTACATCTTTTTTAGGTAGCTCATATATTCTCGATTAAACATTCAACTTGAAAACTAGATGTAATACCATCGGTTATTGTTCAACAAAGATTTGTTAGTGATTTAAATATAAAATTTTTAAATTATACAGGAGTAATTCCAAATTTCATTATGATAGAATTTTTTTGCAAACGAGTCCTTTTCAATACTTAGACTCTCTCCGATAGAAACTAAAGTTAGGAAGCAAGAGAGGAATGAACTTACAATCTTAAGATCATTTACTTTCTCTGAAACTGGAACTTCATTTCCTCTACAGACAGATAACACTTCTTCCCGTGCCTTGTTTTGCCATTCCTGATGCAGTGCTAAAAGAAGAAGTGCCCAAGTCAAAAGATCGGCCATAGATTCCTTTCCTGCAAAGTAGAAGGCCTTGCATTCATTTATAATCTCCTCAACCCCCAATTTCTCTTCCTTCCCATCCTGATTTTTATAAGAAGACATCAGTAAACTAAGTAGATTTCTTGAATTTTCTCTTGCGTTGCTGTTAGTTTTGATCAGATTCCTTATTGCTTCTCGAGTTTCCCTCTCTATTCTCCACCTTTCTCTGTTTTTCTTGGTTGGCAAAAACCTGCTTATAGAAGAAGCCTGAAATTATACCCCAAGGTTTTGCCAAAGAAAACATCAAAATTCCTCGATTCTCTCAATATATTCCAACTCTGTACAGTCGGTAAAACTAAACATTTTCAGCTAGTGCTGTAGAAAAAAGCTTGTTCTCTTTTCTTTGCTCTCTTCGCTTTTAGCCCATCAGAATTAAATGCAATTGGACCTGGCTATATAATACAACATAATGGAAGGATCCAACAAGCAAGAAGTCCAACAATCAACGCATTGACGGGTTTGATTATTCAGTCAGTTCATTATAGACTTGCTGGAAGCCAAAGATAGTAGTAAATTTCAGAATTGTATGAAAGATGGAATTCTGACCAAGTTAATTTTCATTAGTTTGCTTACAGATGCTTTTCATGTGCATCTCTCTCCGGTATTGCTTTGTAATGGGAGCACTCCCATTGAGTTCCTTTGATTAATGAAACCTTATTCATTTATCAATAATAATAGTATTAATAATGGTTTTTCCATATATGCTCAGTCTAGCAAGCTTATTTGACTTGAGTCAAACCCATGAAAGTTTGAACAACAATCTAATTAGTACAGGAATGTTAATGAACCAGAAGTAAAACGATCACCTGAAACCTGGAATGTAGACATTTCCTATAGCATCGAAGACTAGCTGCTTCTGTCTGTCCTGTAACGCGAATACGCGCTTCCCCTCCTCATAATTGCTTCCAAAAGCTGTTTTAGATATAACATCTGATGCAAGGCCTTGAAATTCTTTATGTACATCCATCTCAAACTCATCTTTCTCTCCTCTTATTTCCTCCCACTTTTTTAGCATCTTCATTGTGCTTGCCATAATTTCTATCCCGCAACACTGTCAGAAACATTTTGAGTCAGGTTAGCCATCCACAATCCACCAAAAGTGAAATTTTATGTCTTAACTTGCAGTGATCAGTAGAAAAGTAGATTGCAGAATACATTCAGTGAATTCCGAGTGTTGGATCTATCCATCACTACTAATTAGTTAGCCATTCAATTATATACGAAAAAAAAGAAAAAGCTAATTAAAGACTCGATTACTTGCACATACCGATCTCGAACAGTAATCAAGATAAATTCTTTACATATATATACATACACACACATATATATAATGATCTTACATTTCTGAGAATCCAGGACCTTCACTATTAATTATAATGAAGAAAACATTAAACAATGGACAAATTAACGTGTCATACATAAGTCATAACCTGGTGAGAAATATGTGCGAGTTAGACATATAATTAACAAATTAGTGTAGAAAGGCTTTAAAGAATACCAAATAAAGGAAGCTGGCAATTTCTTGGTACTTGGATAGTGACACTAATTCTATATCAATTACTTTAATTATCTTTAAAAAAAATATATTGTTAAAGGTTGAAATCCAACAGGAATATGGCAGGTTTAGACGTTTTCAATACTAACTTGATTACTGGATATGATGAACAAACATTGGTATTTATATATTCGTTAAGGACGATTTCTCTTACATATTAAAAGTTAACTGCCTCTAACTTAGAAACAAGTTGCAGAAATAAGCTCATGCATGTTAATATGTATATAAAATACACCCAAGAGTGCTGTATAATATAACTAAAAGAATGATCTATTTGTTTGACAGAATAGTTTCTCAAATGCTAATTGATTATTAAAGAGAAAGTAAAGTCACCTTAATCCGCTCCATCATAAAAGCCTGGTTCGCAATCCTCCTATGAAGAGCCCACTCCTCGCCAATCAAACCATTAAGCCCCTGTCCGAAGAGCAGCTTAGCCTGAGGGTTAAGTCTTACCTTCTCAAATGATCCACCACCCGTGTTCAAGAAAATCTCCTTTATCATGTCCAGATCAGCTGTAGCCAATATGGGAATGACTCCAAACCAGTAGAGGAACGTCTTCCCATACTTGCGTGACCATTCATGATAAAATGGGGTTACTCGATGGACAATATCGTGGTTAAAAGACATTGTTTTCTTCCGTGCTTCAGTAAATGAATTACGATACTCATTCGTGTTCCCAAAGATGGGACGGTAGTTAGGGCCATTGATGCCTTGCTTTCTAAAATGCAAATGGATTCTCCATGGAACCCATATCATTGAGTGTATGAATTTCAGGACGCAGACAAGTAGTACAACATAAAAAACAAAAACAAGATGCATGGTAAAATCTCTCTCTGATGTCGCTCTTGCTACTTCACTAATTCCTCAAGCAAGGGTTATATAACAAAGTAGTACTGCTTGTAAAATTAGAGGCTACTTCATTTCCAATACTTCATGTCTGCAGAGCTTCATCCTCCTTTTTTTTTTTTTTTTTTCTGATTGGTGGAACCCATATATATCACTAACTATTATTTTCGTAAGGAATGCATGTCAATGGTAAAATATGTAGCGAATATTAAAGTGAATAAAGGTAAAAAAATCGAATATGAACCGAATATAAATTTATATGAAGATGTTTTAATGAAAAGAAACAAAGTATTTTTTTAACGAGTTGGACGAAAAATTGAATGAATGAACCGGTACGCATTCCATTAACATATCCCTCTTCAGAAAAGCTTACCACAGACCATCCCTTAATTAGTAGCGCGAGCAGAACCAAGTGCAAACATCTTTTGACCGAATTAACCATTCACAAACAAAATGTTATCTAACCCGACAATATGATATTACATAGCGTCCTGATCCAATCTCCACTTAATCCATTAAAATAAAGAAAGATATAAGGCCATCCTGGTGGCATCATTAAAATTAAAATGTGGGGCCGTAAAGAGGGATTTCGGTCCGACAGAAACATGATTGTCCATCCCATAATAATAATATTATTATTACTATTTTTACTACTTTTGGTAGTGCAGCATCCACTAAGTCGGGTCCAATAATGCGCAGATTGTTCTTTTTGGGCGGCTTATCTTGTCTAACTAATGGTGATGCTTAGAAACAAGCGATGATGGATTGCGTCAACCGCAGTTATATATATATACACAACAAAAGAAATCAAGACGACTTTAATGATCATGGAATTCCGGAGTATTAAGCAGTAAATAGAAATTAAGGCCCAAATAAGCAAGGCATTAGATTATGAACAAGTGAAAATCGAAGTATGGTAATCTTGCCTGCAAATGTAATAGAAGCATGGCAACGGCGGAAATTTACTACTACTTTGGTTTGGTTAAAAGGTTGTACAAATCCTCAGGAATTCCATGATCATTGAAGTCTTGATTTCATTTGTTATTCACTGGAAAAAAGAGAAAGTTAGTGTTAAAACTTTAAAACTAAGGTTCGTATCAATCAGTCCTCACGATTATTCATTTCTAGCAGAAAAACTAACCATACCATACTAGCAATTCTTACATGCAATTACCATATAGTGTCTTCTATTGCAAGTTTGAACCTACCTACCGAAATGCCTTTCAATTGCATCAAAAAAAAAAAAAAAAATGAAGATGACATAGGTACCAAATTAATATTGCAATTACCTGACCACACCAAAAGTGTTATTGTAAATAGATGGACAAGACAAACACATAAAGGGGCATGATGCAATCTGAGGTAGGATCAAATCTGCACCTTGAGATTGCATACAAATGCAGAAGTCGTCACACTTGGGCTCTTCATTATTTTAAGTACAGCCACCAACCGACGTTCGTAACAGTTCTTCAATTTGGAATACTGCGTAAGAGGATCTGTGCACCGTATTGAGGCTGTAAGCTTGTCAAGCGGGTTGGGGCAGGAAAATAAGTGGGTGAAACAACGGAGTAATGTTTTATGGTAATTGATAGGACAAGTTTTGCCTCTATTAATTAACAAAAAAGTTCAAAACAAAATAGATTTTTACTATTCACGATGATATTTATATACTCATAAATTACTATCTTATCACAATTTATGGCATTATTGTAATTTTTAAGACATTTTACGGTATTTGATAGACAATTTTTCTTTTATGAACTTATATTTTGATCCTTAATTTTTTTTATATATTTTTGTTTCGACTTTAAACTTTATTTGTATTGTGATTTACTATTTATATGTAAAGAGGAGAGAAATGAAAGAAGACAAGGAGGGCGAGGGCACGACAAGACCTCGTTCTAAAAAAAAAAACACATCGTATGTTTTTTTAAAGCTCACTTGTGCATGCCTTACTTGGCTTTTTTTTCTTCTCTATTTATTCCAATGAGTTTTTTTATTAATGATTTTTTTTTTGTTATAAAATATGAAAAATCGATCATTATTTTTTTTTCACACAACCTCATAAGAAAGAGATATATATATTTTATATTTTCATAATTTAGATTGAACATATAATTTAGATTATATTGATTTTATTATGTGTGTGTGTGTGTGTGTCTAAAATACATTTTTTAGATTAAAAATGTATTCCAAATAATTTATCTCGATTTTTTAGAAAAAATTCAAAGCGGTTAATTAATAATTGAAAGTTAAATGTAAAAAATAAAAGGGAGATGGTTGCTCTATGCATGAGTTTTGTATTTAAGGACTAACCATGTATAGTATAGAAATAAAAATTATTTAAGAAGGGCAAAAATTATAATTTTTTTGTTTTAGTCTATTAACTTCAAACTTATTCAATATATTCCTTATAAGTTAACATTTTTTTTTAATGATCTTTGTTTTTTTAACTTGCAAACTCTAAACGCATTTAATATAATTATGATGTATAAAAAAATATCGAATCGTTATTTTTTATAGGAATTAACTATACAATTACTACTACACTAAGCATTTACTATTTATTTATTAATTAATATTTTAAAATTAAATAATTAAAATTATGTTTTGGCGTAACCATCCAATGAGTCAAATATAGTTTTTATTTTAATATTATTCATTCTTTTGTGAATAAATATATAAAATTAAATTCACATTCTTTCACAAATTGATATCCTCATCAATATTAAATAAAATCAAAAACAATTTTTAAAATTTTTTTTCAATTCTAAGTAAGTTTTTATTAATTGTTATTTTATTTTTTCAATACAATCTTATCAAATACTAAATATTTTTTAAAATTTTTTATTTAATTTTCATTTAATTAGTTAAGAATCTATGGATTAAGAAGAATAAATCAATTAGTGTTAATAAATTCTTATTTTACATCTATGTTTTTAAATTGTTTAAAATAATATTAAAACACAGTGTATAATAATAAATTTACCCGCAGCAATGCGTGGGGGTGCTATGCTAGTAGGTGCGAAATTTTTGCCAAGGCAAACACTAGGGGCTAACCCAAATGGAAGAAACGAAGTCAAATGATTTTCAAACTCCTTGAACCTCAGAGGATTGAATTCATTAGCATCTTTTCCTCATATATCAGTGTCGTGATAAAATGTGATGATGATCAATTTAGCTGGAATAACTACAAAACAAGCTTCTTTTCGTGAGTTGAATGACCTTTTAATGATTAAATTAGTACTTGGAGGGAGATAGTAAACACTTGAAGCGGTAGATATGCATATAATGATACGGTGATGAATTTGTCCCCATAAATTTGTTTTTGGAGACTAAAAATTGTCTTTGTAGGTGTCCTAAATAGATGAATATTGTCTTAAAAAGAAAGGCCATGCAGCGATTTGTGTTTCAATATACTCTATTTAGGAAGACCTCAACTCTTAAAAGAGCCATAAAAATACGAAATTTTGTCTCCGTTTGACAAATGTGGTTACAAAATTTGTCTCAAATAATCATCAGTGATAATGAATTCTAAAATTTAATTTTTGTTTACATCTTTATCATTTATTTATAAGTTTTTTGATCCTCAAATTATTTTAAAAAAATATTTTAGTTGTTAATTTTTAAATTTTATACAATTAAATCACTGTATATTAATAATAATAATAAAAATTATTGATCTCAAGCAGCAAGCAAGGATGTACGCGTCTTGCTTGCACTAAAAAAAATGCTAGCCCAACTGTATGTTCTGGGCTTGGACTAAGCCCAGATCAAAAGTCACCGTAGATTCTTATTTGCGCACTACTGGGCTTAAGTTTATTAAATTTAGGGGTGAACAGATTTCTACTCACATATCATAAATATCGCAATGTTTATTTTATTTTTTTTTGTCACAAATGGGAGGTTTGAATTCCAAATTTCTGGAGAATAAAGAGACGCCAAACATATATGTATACGTTTGGAGGATTGTTAGGTTTTGAATTGCACAGAAGAGTAATTTTCTCTCGTTATATATAATAATTAAATAAATTAAAGTTATTGAAACTTGAACTTCATTTAAAGAAATTATCTATAAAACAAAATCACTAGAATTCAAACCTTCTTTATTGAAAAATAACTATTAAATACAATTAAACACTAATACATTAATTAAATTACAATTCAATAAATGATAAGTTGATCATCCCGTGAGCTGTAACTTAAGAGTAAATGCATAATGTAGCCACCCAATATTGCAACGAGCATTAAAATATCTGAAGCTTATTAACCTCAGGCTTATCCTCTCGTCTTTACTTAAACTAATTAATTTGTAAGTTTTTGACCTTTTTTATGTTTAAACATATATGTTTTTGTTTAAATAGACAACAAGATATATTTTCAAGTCAGTTTATATTTTAATGAAAACTATTATTATTATTATTATTTGGAAAAAAATTAAAAAATATATTCTTCATGCATGCCCGTTTAATGTAGAAATAAATTCTTCCAAATATTCTCAAAATTCAAACTTAAAAACAAAGAAAATAAACAAACATTTATATAATTGCCATAACAACCCTTGAGGTTTTAATTAATCATATTGTTTCATCATTAATTAAGTATTTGACCATTTTAGAAGTTTAGACAATCGTAGCTTTCAAAATAGTATTATATAAGAGTAGGATATACTAGAACTTATTCTTACTTCACGTGGAAAAAAACCATTTCCAAACGTAAAAAGCAGTATTAGAGTGGTTTTTTAAAAAGATAAAAAATATTTTTTTATATAATATTTAAAATCTTTTATATATTTTTAGATTTTTAATTAAATTTTATTTATTTCTAAAAGTATTTGAAATGTTCTATATGTCATTCCGATCAATTTTTTTTTTTACCAAAATGCTTTTAATTGAAAAAAAAATCTAAAG